GGGTTAACGTGCGTAGTCGTCCCGCACTGCATCCGGCCTTGGGAATGATTTTACGCGCGCAGATTGTGCAACTTTTATTTTGGCGCACACAGACAACCGAATCTGAGCGATCAAAGTGCGACCACGTCGCCCGCGAAGATTCTAGAATGAAACAGCGCTCGGATGACACGTGGTGGGCAAAGGCTGTGGGGTCCATGACTTGAGAGGCAGGATGGGGCATCGGCTGGGAGGTCACTGGGTCACTAAAATGAGAGGTCACCAAATAGAATGATTGTGGACTCAACCATCTGTCTAGCCATCCGACGGTAGAAAGATAACGATGTGGTCAAACGTGCACACAATTCTCTTGTATTCTTACCATCCGACAGCAACGTGTTCAGGAACTAAATGCCAATGTCGAAGTCTGTTAGCCACGAGAGGGCTTCAGGAGAGAGAGAGAGTTTGATAACTTTTGCGGGTTCTCCTCCTCCGTCGAAGGAGCGTAGACTACAGTGGTTTACAATGTGCTCCATAGTTTGGGTTGCATGGCTGCAATCGCACTACTGTGGAGTGTCTTTAATTCCCCATGTATGGTGGAGAGTGAACATCAGCCCACTGATGTTCTGTTGTGGCTGATGGTTTCACCACCGGTGTCTTCGAGGAATGTTGAAGCCCGCAAGGTGCGGTGTTTGGGTCTTCGCATTCGGAGTTCATTCTGAACGTCCACGTTACACGCAACACAGCCGCCCAATGATCTGATAAGTCACCGGAATAGTCACGGTGCTGCTTTTCTCAATGTATACTCCACGTAGCAATCCCCCCCTCCCTCACTCGGTCTAAGAATTGGCAAGATCCTCCTGAAAAACGGTCATGAGACTCAATGAATGAGGCGCTTCGGGGTAGACGCGAATAATCATTCAGCTCTACGATTTGCAATAGCCCTGCACAAAAACACTGCGTCTCCTTTCAGAATCAAACAACGGACTTGGGGTGTGTGCCACCGGGGGTGTGGTGGGGGGGGGGGCAGCGCTGTGCAGGTTCGGGGGAGCTTGCGAAGCAGGGGGTACGGGGGGCGAGGAGATACCTTATGAAATGGGCTTCCCACTGTTATACATGTACGCATGTCATAGAGACAGAATCACAGTGTGTATTCAGACTGAATGAATCCGATGAGCTATGAAGCTCTTTTTTTTACAGATGTCCCAAGACCGAACAGTCGTAGTCAGAGAAGAAGAGGCGGAGGAGATCAGGGGCATGGAGTCATCAGCACGAATGACTAGCGGGGGGAAGGACATTTTAGACCCAGAGGGCAGCAGAGGAGAAGCAGCAACCGCCCACGAGTTGTTCCTTCTCAAGCAAATACTCGGAAAGTCTGGCGTCCAACTATGACAAGTTATCTTCGTCAAAAGCCCCATACAGCACATTCTGCTTGTGTTGTTTTGTTTTTATCAGCCGCGGCCTTGACACTGTACAGCCTTTGCGTACGTGCAAAGCCGTGTTTCGTAAACACCGCGCAATAACAGTCGGGGTTATCCGCCCACAAATCACAACGCCTCCCCTCCACCGCTACCAGCGAGAGTAACACAAAGTTTGCGTGTGGTGACGCCTCGTTTCAACGAGCTAATTGTGCAGGCGAGTTCTAACGGTGCTGCTGGGTATAAGCAAACTCAAGCAAAACGAGTTGGGTCGGCCCCCAGTAGCTCAAGGTGCCTCAGATTAAGGGGAAAAAAATATTTGGAAATGCATCAAATATCTCATGAAAAAAATCATCTCTAGCGTTTGTTTACATTTCCCCCAACTCACAACATCACCATCTCGTGGTGATGTCGTTGAAAGTGAGGGCCCCCAAAAATAAATTTTCGTAAGGCCCCGAATGGCCCAGTGCCACCACTGTGTTCTAATATTTACACCACGGGCTAAAATAAACAAGAGGCCAACGTTGGCTCGTGGATTCCTCAGCAAATCCACGTTCCGTTGTGTCCCTGGCAGTGCCGACACTGCTTGTGAATGGCTTTGGGATTGGAATTTCATGTGGGCCTTGTGCCTTTAAAAAAAAAAACTAAATATTGCTTTTCAGCATCACAATTCTATACCAACTTTTCCTCGGCATAACGCGATGATACAAACACATTTTCAATTCTGGCAACTAGCAATGCACCACCCTGTACCCGCAGACGGTTGCCAGAAATCCAAACGTCCTTTGCTTGTATATGCCCGACATACGTTTGTCACACTTCAACTAGACTAACATGTAATTTTCAGAACATTAATATGCCAATATGAAACACGAACTTAATATCATAGGTGGCCAGGCTGAGATCAGAATCTCACTACACTCGAGTATGGTTTAATGACAGGCTGCTGAAACCGATAATGGAATCCAGATTCTCAACGTTGCCGTGACCTAACATGGTATTAAAAGGCATGGCTTGTAATGTGCTGTCGTGGAATATTCTGGGCAGGTAAATACGTCGATCTGCGCTCTACATCACCAGGCGAAAACAAAAACACAAATTTCAGTCCATCGTAGTTATCAAGTGTGCAGGTGGTAAAATTCCACCGGAGCACACAGGTCAGAGGGGCCCTAGGCGCCAGGCTTCGAATATTGGGGACATTTGGATACCAGGGCTCATGCAAATCACGCGATGTCATTGCTGGTAGTCCCATGGTTCTTTAATCACTTGAGCCAACAAGGAGATCTGTTCAAGTGACTTCTGGTCTACAGAGTCAAATAAGCAGTGCTTTCCCTCCAGTCCTGCCACTGCTAGTAATGTTCACTGCTTGATAGTCAAACTGATATTTTAAATTATCTGAAGTGGAATTTAACCAAAATGTAGAAATGCATTTAATACGATTAATTGTTTTTTGCATGTGCGTGTGTGTGTGTGGTGGTGATTATTCAACATCGCCTTGCCAGGCACGCCGAGGAGAGGCTTGCGGAGCCCCAAATGCACATGCCATATTTTCTGTCCGTCTGTTACAGCAGAGGTGTAGGGAATTCCAGCAAGACCTACATCTCTGCTTTATTGACCTGGTCAAGGCCTATGATACCATCAGTAGGCCTGGGCTCTGGGTTGTTCTGCATGCTTTTGGAGTCCCTGACCCACTGCTCACGATCATTAAGGACCTTCATGATGGTGATCGGGCCCGGGTAAAACTACGTGGCCGGGAGTCAGAGCCATTCCCTGTACACCTTGGGGTGCGACAGGGATGTCCTCTGGCTCGCACATTATTTAACATCTATTTTGACCACTTAGTTCGTGAAGCCTTCAATAGCTGTACCGGGGGAATTTCCATTTGGTACAGATATAATGGGAGGCTGATCGATGCCCGGGTGTGGTCAAGGGATGGCTCCCTATTGCTCAACCACGTTATGTATGCCGATGATTTGGTAATAGCTGCTCATTCAGAGGAGGAGTTGGAGATGCTGCTGCTGAGACTGGAGCGTGGCACTAAGAGGTGGGGCCTTACCATCAGCCCCACCAAAACTAAGCACCTACCTGGGTATTTTGTACTATCGGACACTCCACCTCCACAACTCCCAATCGGTGATGGGGCAGTTGTGGAGAGAGTGGAGAGTTTCCCATACCTGGGCAGTGTGCTTATGACTGGCTCCAGTTTAACAGCAGAGGTCTCACTCCGAATCAGTCGAGCGGCAATATATGTTCATCGGTTGCGTGACGCTGTGTGGAAGCTACCTGGTCCGTTGCTCCGCACTAAGCTTCAGGTCTTCTCGGCCACGGTCATTCCCTCCGTTCTCTACGCTTGCGAAACGTGGACCCCCCTAATGGAACATCTTTGCCGGTTAGAAACATTTAGGCTGGCCTGCCTATGATCCATCCTGGGTTTAACCAGGCTGGATTGTGTGAGGAGCTCACAAATCCTTGAAAGATCTGGACAAGGTCCCATCGGTGAGCTTCTCCGGCAGGCAAGGTTGCGATGGCTGGGTCATGTAGCCCGCATGCCCAGCCACCGCATGCCGAAACAGCTTTTGTTCGACCGGATTGAGGGGGCTAAACAGGCGCGGCACGGGCTAGAGAAGAGATGGAGTGATGTGGTACAGGAGGACGTGGAGCTGAGTGGACTTGCCGATGACCGGTACCAGCGGTGTCAAGATCGGCCTCTATGGAGGAGGCTCGTGAAGGACGCTACTGGGCAGTTGGAGGTAGTAGCCCTCCAACAACAACGGAGGGTGGAGCGACGCTCACAACAACGAGTGGAGCGCCGGGTGGCCAAAGCACAGCAAGTTGACACAGTAGGGGGCACAGGTGGTGCATCAGCCAGTCATCTCAGTCATCTCAGTCAGTCGACCCATGGCACTTGGGTCTGCCCCGTGACCTCCTGCCAGCGGGCGTTCGACACTTCACGTGGCTTCAAGGTACACATGGCCTGGCACAAGCGTCGTGGTGACGTCACCGCCACTTAGTGGCGAATGGCGGTTGTTGTTGTGCGGTGGTGTAGCGGCTAGTGCGCTGCGCTATGAACTCGGCGAACCGGGTTCGATTCCCGCTCACGGCCGACACCAGTGAAGAATATCTGAACCGGTTTTGGGCATCCCCTAGGTCGACTCAGCCTAAACTGCGTTCCTGGTGTGGTGCGAAAAAAAAATCGCCACTAGGGAGACAAAGGCGGCCGCGCGTGGTGCTGGCCACCCACCCCCTCGTGTACCGTTCTGGTCTTCATAGGTGCTCGCTAACAGCACTTGCCCCAACAGTCTGTTAAGGATATACGGGAGATAGTTGAAAGTTGTGCAGTCAATAGTAACTGGGATGAGACCATCGATTCGCCACATGAACGACCGGCAGATAACACCCACATCCGAACCTGGGATCTCAGCAGCGCCCAACTAACTCATTGCTCCGACCTCTTGGGCCACGCAGCAGTCCCGTGTTAACAAACGGAGCGACCCCCAACCTGATCGCAACTAGCTGTGTAAAACCGAGTCGTGACGTTTCGAGGGCGTTGTTGATCATTGATAATCCTCGGCGTGATTGGCTGAACCTTGCCATTAACCTTTGCTCGAGACCTTGCCCAGATGTTCGTAAACAATAACGGAGGTGTTTATTCCTGCTCCATGCCAAGCCCCGCTGCTGATTTTCTTTAAATACGGGGGGCAGCCCCCTGCTGCCAAGGAGGGCACGCGGGAGACCAGGGCACGGGCACACAAGGAGCAGTCACTGGATCGAGATGGGTCTCAAGGCGCTGCTGGTGGCTGTCGTGGTTATGATCGCCCTCTCGGGTCTGGGTAAGCGAGCGCATGGCTTGGGAATGAGCGAATGTGTTTTGACGAATGGCATCAGTAAGCGTGTGTTGCCACAGCTGTGTGAGTGTGTCTGTGTATAGTGAGTCGTTTGGCTAAAGTGTGTATTCAATCTTACAAGGGAGTTGAGTGAATGTGTGAATAGCGAGACTGCAGCGTGTGTATGTTTCTTTGCCCGACCTGTGTTCGATTCCTGTCCACTTCTAGCATCAAAATACGTGTTAATAACGAGTCACGTTGGCGTATATGGGGAGTTAACAGTCAGCAATTGATTTTAACTGTGCACATGTTTAACGAGTGTTTTCATCGTGAGTTGTGTGAATCACCACAATCACCATCAGCAGCCAAAAATCAATCGGCACCCTCAAATTGACATCATCCCTCGGTCTTCAGTTGCCATTAACCAAATAAATTTCATCGCTCCGTCTCCACGTCCCCCCTCTTGGCTGGCATTCCGACGCCAGTCTCGTCCATCAGCGATCCTATCTCCACCAGTGTTGTGTGCCGTCCACGTGTTCCACTCAAACCAGCGGTTCTTTACCTTTGCTGCAGCCTGCACCTCTTTGGTTCGCAATCGTTACCACGTGTATACTGTCAATACATACACAGGGTTTGATGAAACAAAGTACATTCCTGTGCTTAATTTGTTTTCGATTTACCTACTAAAAAATCAGGCCACGTCTCGCGTCCCCAGGGGGTGCGTGCAGCCCTGGTTAAGAACCACCGACTTAACATTAACCAAAAAACTGTCAACATGATGTCCAACGTGCATGTTCCACGTTCCACGTGCTCCTCGGTCTCACCACGCATCTCTCCGTGCTTTTTGGCGAACTTTTACGGTTTTGTTCTATGTTTTTTTTTGTCAGTGTACACATTTCTGATCTCTCGTCACGACAAGCTATTTGTACTAATCGAAAACCTGCCTCTATGCATATCGGTATGTGGCTTTCCAACGTCGAATTCAATTTTCCAAATCACTGTTGAACCTCTTTCGCATCGTACCGAGCAAACAGTGCTCATCGGAGGTGCACTGCAACCCATTCGCTCTTTCTCAATTCTTTAACAATTTAGATCCCGGGTCCGCCTTCAATGACCACCCTAAGTCATAAACCTGCATGCCTCCAACAATAATTTTCCCTTTTGCTCACGGAACTTGTACTGGACTTGTTCTCGTATTTCTTGAACCCAACATTACAACATTCCTTCGTGAAACGTCCATCGCTGCAAATGTCATTGGTTGCTCTCCCGTCTAAGTCACAATTTGATGCGGAGCTGTCGATTATTTGTCTGTTGTAGTTGCATTTAACTCTTATAGCTGTTTGTTTACATATTAGTACGATAGTCACCCTTTATCTGTTTAATGTTTCTGTACGTTAATTGCAATTGTGTAATAATCATTCTACAAAGTAATTTTCCCGGGCCGACTTGCGGTAAAGGACATTCATAACTTAACATAGATTTTTGTTTGTGCAATGTCCTTGATGTCGCGTGTGATGCGGTGGTGTTTGGTGCGACTTATATTTGCTTCATGGCTGCATTTTATTGTATGTTTTGCTGTTGTCATTTTAGTGACCTTAGCTCACCGTTGCAAATGAGATTCTAATCCTTGTATCTCGACTTCTCATCTGGTTTAATAAAATAAACTTGAAATTCCTAGATTTTCCGTTGTTCATTTTCATTGCTTGTTTTAACAATGCATCAGCAAATCTGAGACGGTTAATATGTTATCCAGTTGTTAAGAGCCTTGATTTCTCCAATCCAATATTTGGAAATGGTACTGTGATTAGCCTTGGCGAGTTCACATTCTTGTCCGATTCCACTTCCGAATGTGTTGCTACTTTCTACGTGCAATATCAGTGTAACTAATGCTATATGTTCGTAAATTGCTTTGCTAATGTATTTTGTTTAGAATTTATGAAATTCTTGGTGCACAACAGCCTGGATGATTGAATCTGTTGCGCTTAGTCGAATTCATTTTCAGTCCACCAAAAGCATGGCAGAATGGAATTTTATATTCAAGTTGTTTTCTTACAGATAGTGTACGATCGATTATGTAGGTTGCTCAACTTTTTAAAAAATAAATTCAGCTTGCTGGGCTCGTTGTTTGGGCTATAAAATGTCCATTATTCGGTTCACTGGGACCTCCGTGAACAATTTATGCAACCTGATGGAGGCTCGCAGCTTGAAGAACGGCCAAACCCCCTGCGTCCTAGACATGCGTGTTTATTTTGTCTGGTGCGTGTGTCGAGTGCGTTAATCGAAGTGACTTTTTAAACCATGTTCAAATCAGAGATGGCACCACCAAGATCCTGGGTTCTAATCCAGGTTTTAGCCGTTCGGGATTCAACTGGGTTCTGAACTGTAGCAGGTTGTCTCGACCCAATAAACAGACATTTAATGCAGAATCAGAATCTTTATTTAAACTGATGAGCTATGAAAACGACCACGTAAAATGTTATGCACCCACAAAGGAGACCAACACAAAGAAAATCGGCTTGGCATGTAACGAACATTACACATAATAAAGGTTTTTGGGATAGATCGCGTTATTTATGTGTCGCAACCTTCCACCACCCGACACGGCCACAGTAAAAAAAGGTGTCACGTTGACAAAAGACAGAATAGTTCACTATTTTAGCCCACCAGTATCTTGAAGAGTGAATCCACAAAATTTACAAAAACATTTTAGTACGACGTTTCGTTGGTAATTACATCCAGCGTCATCGGGCAATTTACCAGAATAGTGAAGCCCTCCACCTGCTCCCGGTCTTCAATAGAGCAGCAGTGTGACGTCATCATTTAACCCAATCAGATTTATAAATAACGCGATCAAACCCGAAAACCTTTATTATGAATATTGGTCGCGAAAGCCTACGTGTTAAACGAACATTACAGTCTGTAATGTTCGTTTAACACGTGTTACCTCCTCGTGTAAACCATATCACTTGAAGGGATCTCACGAAGTAGTTCTGGGATATCCTCTTCCGTGGGCCGTTCTCCAACACGCGGAGTTACACCGCTCTGCAGGAGCTCCGAAGTGATTAAGAATGACAGCGATGACACAAATCGGGATAACATTGCGGATCAATATCAACAAACGTGTTACTGTCGTGTTAGTCGACTCTGTGTTGCATTGCATTACATTTCTAAGATTACTAGGTTGGTTTTCTCAAACTTCCAATTTATCTCACCCTGCCGTTTCCGTTTACTTTCTCTGCCCCTCTCTATATATAATGCCTCCCCACAGAGGCGTTGTTCTGTCTCTCTCTGCCTCTCTCCGTGTCTGTGTTTTGTCTCTCTCAAACTTCTAATTTCTCTCCCCCTGCCGTTTACTATTTATTCAAACTTCCAATTTCTCAGACTTAACTTAAAATTTAGCATTCTATCACACCTGATGACGGTTGTATGTGTTGCAATCGAAACGTCGTGTATTCCATTATTTATTTTATTTCCTTTCTCCGTGACTTTACCGAACCAAAGAGTAATTCCTGCAGTCACGAAAGCTTCAAATCAAGTTTATAAACGTGTTGTTTACAGTATTGGCGTATATGTTAGGGCTGTGTAGACCGTTTGAGGAGTGCGTTAGGGCATACACTCATCTCAATACGACTAAAACCTTGCATTCACCGTGAGATGCGAGTGAATGTGTTCATGTTCGGAGTTCGTACTCGGGTTCAACGATTATTGGTATACCGACAATTGCGCTCAGACTTATCGTTCGAACCGCCCGATTTGCCAGCCGCAGTCATCATTTGACGGCACCAGCAGCAGGTCTAAATCACCACGTGGTACATTTGCCATAATTTATCAGCTTAAAAAGTTAAAGTGGAGCCCCGCAATTGCTCGCTCACGCCACTGCTGGGGGAAGGATCTCCCATTATGGTGAACTCTAAGAGGGTATTTTGACTTCCATGCTTTTACCAGATGTGTTGAAAGAAGTGGGCATACCCACAATTCCCCCCACAACCTATGACCTGCCAATCGACGGAGATGGGGGGGGGATTAAGGAATGTGTCCATCGTGTCAACGGCTGCTCAGGGAGATCTAATCAAACTGGCAACCTGCGATTGCATGCCAAGTGTGCTCACCATCACGCCATGGCAGCACCCTTAACAGTACAACTTTTACTTTACCTTGTTTATAATTGACACTGTCGTGTTTTCGTATTACTTGTAACGTTCTGACCTGCCCCGACTGGACATGTGAAAAAAAGAGGTTTACAGCTCATCCGATTCCTCCAGGATATTGTTAGGTTTATAGTTATAAACTAGAAAAACGTACGTGTGCGTCCGACCAGTGGAGACTTTTTTAACCAATGTATTGTTTTGAAATTACGAGCAATGCAAAATGTAAACGGATTTTAACCACTTCATCTCCCCCATCCATCCACAATCGCCCCCCCCCCCCCCCCCTTCCTCCCCCTCCATCTCCGCCACTGGCAGCAGAGTGCGCGCCGGCCGCAGAGGACGACGAGGTGCAAGTCAAAGGTCCTCTGGATAACGTCCTGGCCCAGGCAAGAGACCTGGCAGAGGAGTACGCTGCGAAGACGCGAGAGCTGCCAGGCATAAAGCACACCATGTGAGTTAAGACGTACCACGAGACGGGAAGTCGAGCCGCGTACGCGAGACTCACCGCGGATGCACTCTTAACTCGCGTTGTCACTTGTGTTATGGCTGCAGAGATATGTTCCAGAAGGGAATCGACCTTGTGGGGCCGTACGCTCGGATCCTTCAGGACCAGATGCTCCACATGTGGAAATAAAAATTAAGAGGGCCGGGCCATCCAGCCACCGAAGAACGCTCTCATCGTTGCCTTTCGACAAAGCGGCACGTGGGACCAAGAGCTGTGCTTGGACGACTTCCGACTCATTATGCCTTGCCCCCCCCCACCACATTCGCGCACTCGTTAAGGTGTTATAAGACTTGTTTTGTAGCAATGCTTTGGAACGTTAGCACTGGCAATGATGCACCAACACAGCTGTTCAATACACTAACGGTTTGAATCACGATTTGACTTTTCCCATCGTGGTTAATCGCAACCCAAGCTTAAGACTTCAACTCACTTCATTTAGGAACTCCGCTTAAAGTGCCCAGTATGGATTTTAATCTATAATTAGCCGTGCTGATCAAGGCTCCAACCCCCAAATCACAGCCACCTCGCAGTCTTACAAGCGGGTTTTTGCGAATTTCTCCACACATAAGAAAAAAATATTTGTACATGTACAATTCAGTGCACGCATTGAATGCAAGAATATTTTGAAATAAATGTAAAGTTATATGCCTCACAATTGCAGTGTCGTCACGTATCGTAATGTACCTCGATTTGTTTAATAAAGTATTTTTGACTTACCTGCTCAATCCAAATGGGGGCTATGCAGGTTACATAGCAAGATGCAAAGACAAAAATGGCCGATGAAATACAAATGGACATGGACATAATGAATGTTAAGGATTGAGCTGCGAGAGGCAGACAATATATGTACACAATAATTGCCAGTAAAATAGAACGGTTTGCCAGTAGAAACCAGTGTCGCACCTCTGCCCCATGTTCACACGGCAACAAATCAGAGCAAGGCACTCCGTGGAAGGTGCTAAAAAAAGGACCGTTGCCACCGAATGGCACCAAATTTGTACGGATAGTTTTACAATAAAAAAAAGTCACTAAACTTTGGATAAATACACTTTCATACAAGCAGATCCATACGGCAGCTGCCAAGAACACCTGGTTTATAGGGCTACGTTGTGGGGCAGCAGAGGGCATGACCGCAAACCCCATTATACTGTACTAGGAAACCACCGTCTATGCTCCCCCATTCACCAACCCGCTGGTGAAGTATGGTCAATTAACTCCAGACCTTCAAGTGAGCTGTATATGTATATAGGTCCACAAGGCAAAATGGCAGCTTAAAGTCTTGTTTTATTTTGGCCTAATCAAGGAGTACAAAGGACGTGGAAACAACCTTCGAAAAACAGCTGATCTTTCAGGATGAAATCCAGATTAAACGCGTGCGTGTCACTTTAAACTCAATAGTACTCGGTGTAATGCCCAAACAAGTCGGTTACACATTGACAAGCAAGGTGGGGATTCCGTGGCAATAACAGGCCACATTTCTATCTCAACCGGTGCCGTCCACTAGTCTGGGAGAAAGTGGTAAGATTCTCAAGCACCACATTCTTACCAGCACAGATTTTGCTTTGCGCTTTACTTCTCTCCAATGTGTTTTGGGTCGTACCGCATGTTGTTCGACACGTAGAAACAGTTCCCTCAATGTGAAGCGAAACACGCTGGATATGCCAAACACACGTGGTACAACGCAAAACTAAAAAATGGAGAGCCATCACGCGTTCAGCCAGAACGTTTTAACAGGCCTCGGCGTCAAGACAAGAACAATACAATCATACCTTGCTTGTCAAGAGGATAACATCACATTGCACGACAGGGTGTCACGTTTTCTCCTCCCCTTAAAGATGGGTTATGTTAATTTAAAAGCAAACAAATATTTGCATCACAGTAACCACACGGCTCTATCCCAAGCCAATTTAATTTAAACAAAAAATGAAGTCACAGTGACAGGCAGACTATATAACCACGTTACCAAAAGCATTTTGTAACAAGGAAAAACAATTATTTTGCCTTGCCACTTTTACAGATTTTTTTAATGCAATTACTAATGATGCAAACATGTGCATATTTGCAGAGTGGAGTCAAGACTGTAAACCACATACTTGCAGTGTATAACGGTTGCAAAAGCTTTGTTGAAAGGTAATTACGTGGTTTCACTTAGTGCTGGTCAGAAGCCAACACAAAGGGTGCCAAGCTTAAGATTTCTGTACGAGGTGGCCCCATCCAACAGCAGCGAATCATTGATCAGGCAAAAGTAAACCCAAATTACTTGCGCCGGTGTTTAAATTTGGTTATTCCGTTTTAACATTGGATAGAAAACATTTACTGTTGGCTGGGTCACACACTCACAATTACTTTACTCCCCCCCCCTGCTTACCCCCCCTCTCAAACCTACCCAAGCCCAATTTAATTTTTTCAAAAACAGGGGACCAAAATTAATTGGCATTTCTTTTTAATTTTGCTCATTGAAACCTAACCAAACACAATATCCCAATTATGGCCCCTAACCCCCCCTCCCCCCCCCCCCCCAAAAAAAAAGTTAACCTGACTGAACTTCAATAAACTATCAAGAGAAGTTTCCAACCTGTCACAAGCTGAAGTTCAGTCAGGACCCACAGGTTCCAGCCTCCACAACAGGATGTTTCCATAAGAAGTTGCTCGCAGGAGGAATGAGGTGCACTCAGGCTTGCAAAAAAAATTCTATGGGGATCAGAGAACCAAACGACAAATGCGGTAGAGTCCCAGTGGTGCGGCATTGGGTTCCACAAGTGCACCTCGAGTAACAGTGGCCGTGTGCAGAGGGGAAAGTGCTTCAAACAGATTCCTCCTGCGAGTCACACATTCCTTTAGCTCGCCCACCTGCCACTCTTCGTTTGCGTGGGTCTCAAACAACGAGGGCACTTCCCCTTGGCTTCTGGGCTGCGACTTTCAGGACGCAGAGCCAGACCAATAACTCTTCAATAAAAATAATAAAAAGGCGAAAACAAAAGTGGTTGTGAGATGGGAGCACAAGGTTTCATCGCCCACTGCCAAACGCGGTGGTTGAGGACGAGGAAACCTTGTGTGCCGGCTCACACGCGCGCGTCTTTTTGCACACGCGCCTCAGAACATTTCATGGTGTTATAGGGTCGGCGTTGGCAGGGACGCCACTTAAAAAAAACGCCATTGGACATTGGCCTTCGTTACCACAAACTGCTGCAAAAAAAACTAGCCTCGATCTACCGAGCTTCATGCCGCATGCGCATTTGCTCGAGATGCCGAAATGTTTTGCTTCAGAACTGTGAATGAACGTGCTGTGGGCCGCCTTACAAACAAGTGGATTAGTTGAAATGGCTCTCAGTGTTATGCTAATACTTTGATGGTTTAAGTTTTGCACAAGTGAAAGCCCAAGTGAACGATTATTGTCCGAATGTTTCGCACCTCATTGTCAACCTCGAGGTAGGTCATACAAGAAACGCGTATACAACTGGCCAATGATACTCCAAACAAGCACGTGCACATTTGAATTGGCACCGAGTTTAAGAACGGGCATTCGACTTCTCCCATTTCAAAACTCTGGTAGCTGGCGAATATTTTAAATTCTCAAAGTTGAAAATGGTACAGCTGATGCAAGTGGTCGACCAAAAACAATTTCTTCCTCCTACCGCTATATTCTTTTTTTTATATAAATGCAACAGCCCACAACGATCGCCTAAATGTGGGCTTGTGCCCCAAAAAAGTGCAATACATCCAAACGAGCTGGGTTTCTTCTCACAGTTAGGGAATACATCTGTGCGCCATTTACTGCTCCCGTCGGCGGGACAGTCCGCTCACGGCAGCAGCAAGCTTCGGAAACGCGCAGAGTCCACACGCTTCTGTACAGTACAGGGGCGCTTGGTGGTCGGTGCTCAGCCTGCCAGGGCCTGCCCATGGCGTGTATTGCAACGGTTGAAGACCACAGCCTGGGCATGGTTGAGCACCAAAAACGAGCGCATGGCAGGGGCTGGGGAGTTGTGATCATATAAAAACAAATAACACTCTTGCATTTCTGTACAGGAAGATGAGCGAAGGGAAAAATAAAATTATCCACAAAAACAAAAAAAGGAAATAAAAATTACGCACACGCGTTGCCGTTTGAAACCGCAGCCGACTGCACTAGAATGAACCTGGGGGCGCAGGCGCAAAGAGAAGAGTGCAAATTCGTGCAGCTTTTAGAAAGACAGCTCTAAACTTGAGAAGCCAGAGGCCAAAGCTGGCCAGGCCCCCCTCCTCCCCTTATGCACAAAAGTGGCTGAAGCTTCAAAGAGGACACACGCGTGGCTGTGGATGCCCGCCCAAGCGTAAAACTCCGCTATGGTGCAGGGGCGCCCACGAAGACCATTTGCAGGAAAGTTTTTTTAACGTCGAGTAATCGTGGCTCCATTTAGGGCTTCCGTGTTGCTACGAAGCAAGAGTGCGCACTCGCTGCACAAGGTTGCAAGTGCACCAGCGTGGTCCTCCACATGCTCAACTTCAGGGGACCTTTTTCGCCAAGGCTCACAAAGACCAATGTGCAACACACGCACGCATTTTAACTCCCCCAACAGTTGAAGGTGAATTACTGCTGCAACTGCAACGTGCCAAATTCTCACAAGTTTTCAAAAATTGTCAGCCACAATATATCCAATTCATAAAGCTTGATCTTTGCACCACTTGTCACGTACAATTGTGGTCAAATTTCACAACCATCAAAGCATTGCCATCATTTTCCAAAACGCCAAGAGCTTAAGATTGGGGACATTTTAAAACACGTGCATGGATGGTTTTGTTTCCGTTTGCTAGCCAGCCGAGGCCTTGAGCAATTATTTGGACGTTATTGTTAAATAAAACTGTTAATGCCTTACGCCCAGACGCAACTAGCAACACATGGGCCCCATCGCCAAACTGCAGAGTGGACATGTTGCGCATGACCGGGCATCCGGGATGTTATTTACAAATTTACACTATTTACACAACGGTTCTCAGCTTGCCTGCAACACCATTTTAACAGCCATCTCTGGAGCATTAACAGGGACTTCTTTTTTAAATGAATTTTTTTTGCCTTTCTTCTTTTTTCCCTCCTCTCCCTCATTTTCTCTTCGTTTTTCAAACCAACAATTGTCCTCGTTTTCAGCAGGTTGCAAGGCCAGGGAGACACCACAACTCGGCTGCATAGTGTATTGCGCTTGGAGGCGGTGCCACCTTGCAAGTGTTCGCTGCCCTGTGCTGCCCGTGGTCTCCATGGCATCAGGTCCGTTTCAGCAGAGAAGCTCCCCCAAACATCGCGTATGCCAACGCAGGCAAGCTGCGCCTGGCCCAGGACCCACCCTTGTAAGCTGGTTTTTTTTTTAAATATCCATTCAGTTTGTTAAGGGATTTTTTGTCTTTTGTACTTTTGTAAGTCCAAAAATAACAATAACATTAAAAAACACAAGATTTGTTGTCGTCTTGTAACTCCAGAGGGCTTCCAAGTCGGTCGCGCTTGAGCACGCAAGCCTCTTGAACAGGCAGGCGCCGTCACGCCAATCCATTCTGAGCGCGATACGAGCAACACGAGCCACATTGCGGCATCTGCTCAAGGTTCCAAATCCCAGCGGCCGGGTGTTTCGCCCCACTGCCACGTCTCATCTTTTGCACAATGCTTGCAGTATCGGTCAGTAAGGCACTTTTGTGCAAAAAAATTATATTGTAGCACAGAAGTAACGGTCTAAACAGCAGGAGGAAAGGAGGGGGGCTAAATTAATTCTTGAAGCTTTGAATGACAGACCTCCCAGAAACCCTACGCTCGTCACCATTTTTGTTTAAGAATTGTATGGTGATTAATTTTAACAGAAGGAATTAACTCCAAATGCTGATATTTATCTTATATACCTTCCAATTAAAATATTTTTGAAATAAGCAGTTGTAAATAAAACCTTTAAGGGGGCAGCGAAGTGTAACAATAAAAAAAAGCTGTGGCACGCCTCCAACATAAATGTCTTCTTGGAGGAAGCGTGCAGAATGCCTGAGGGGGGGGGGGGGGGCAGAGATGTAACAAATTAAACAAATCACCGAGGGGCATGACAACCACATACAAACGACTGCAAATGGAGAGCCAAGCACGACCACGAGAATATTGTTTTTATTACTTACATCAATCAACTAATGTTGTTAATTTCCAATTTAGCATGAATTGCCATTTTGGCATTAAGTAATGAAAAAAACATTCCTACAAATTACATCACTAAGCTCAGATGAGCATTAAGTATGGCCAAACAAGTCACATGATCAACAGCAAGGCCTCTATTCAGCAGTGTTGACAAAAGGGCTACAAGTTGTTATAAACTATGGAGGTATACCCCCATCATTGGATTCCCCCCCACCCCAACTTGAACTTCACCTCCCAAAAAAAAGTTTTCTTACTGCCCCATAGTCCCCCCACCCCAGCCAGGCCCCCGACCCTCACACTATTCCCTCATCCCCCACCCCACAGCAACTCCCCCTCACAAGTCCCCGTGCACGACCTTCACACCCGTGGGGGTAGGCACGTGGCTGTCCCACAAAAGGGCTCCCCGCTGCACCAACGTAGCTACACAGCCAAACAGCGCCAACACCCACCCTCGACTTGTCTTAGGGCTGCTGCTGCGACGGCGGCTGCTGCTGGGCTGGCTGCTGTGTGCTGCCGCCCTCATCCGGCTCACTGTGGAACTCGGCCACGTACAGGCTCTTGTCAATAGTGCCCGGGATGGGCTTGATCTCGGTGCCCAGCTGCTCCTCGATGCCCTTCAGGTTGAAGCGGTCCTCGTACGTGATCAGGTTGATGGCCAGGCCCAGGTGGCCATAGCGGCCTGTCGCGTTAGCACACACGGAGTCATTCAGCAAACTGTCAGTGTTCTACCCCTCTCCGAATTCAGTTTAGTTTTTTGTCATTAGTATCATGTAAAAACAAATTCAACAAATCTCACATAATCGTGCCAATGTGTAAAGGCAATGGCCCGCAAAAGCAGAGGCGCTCGATTCTTCCCTTTTCGTAAGAGGGCGCATCTTCCCCATTCCCACTGTAATCAGGTGGCTTTCACCCAGATCCACAGTATCTCAAGCTGCTGGCTCAGAACTCATAACTACTTAGCCAGGGGTTGAGTGCTGATATGTGCAGAGTGCTTAGCTAGAGCTGGGATGATTGGTGGATTACAAATTGTAGGACTACTTTCATGGTGGTCAACTTGGACTCTTTTAAAAAAATGGGGGCCACCCCCCACATCCTGCCTCTCAAAAGACAGGTCTCCTACAAACTATGCCGAGTACGATATGGACGATTATGCCGACAAACCTTAACCCACCTTCCCATCCAGTAGCACACGTGGGAAGGATTTCCTTATGAAATTTTAATCACAGGTCCTCATCCCATTAGTCTAGTAACCTAAACAATAAATTGGTAGAATAATTTGAGTTGGATAGACCAGCTTGATAGGCCAGTATTTTACACCTCTACACGAGCAGTGGGAACAGTGCTGGTTAAATGTTGCCACAGTGTTGGCCCTAAGAACCTGTGCTCCCTACCCTATACCGCATCCAGTGAATGCAAATGCACAAACATTCCCGGTTATACATATACAAATGTAATGATGGCTATCTCGTGTCCTTACCGGAACGGCCAATGCGATGCAGGTACGTCTCGGCATTCTTTGGGAAGTCAAAGTTGATGACCACATTCACAGCCTGAATGTCAATTCCTCGGGTGAACAGATCTGAAAGTTCACATTGAAACAGACTTTCATTTACCTACACAAAGGTCAAGCAACACCATAATTGCTATTCGATAAAGAAAAGGCTATTTCTCCTGAAAAGTCTGAGTTTTTTTAAAAACACATATATACAAAGGTCCTGCATTTGGGTAACTAGCCAATTATTAAGGGTTTTGCAAGTGGTAGAAAACATGGGAATACCTATCACGCATGTGTGGTGAATATAACCCTGAAAAAAAACACCCACAGAAGGCCCATGAACCCAATACTGTTGTCACCACCTGGCCCTTGCAGTCCAGTGCACTGAGTTGCATAACTCTCCACGATTCGTAAACCCTCGACGACAAAGCATTGGAATAAACCCCACCATTATATATTTTTATTTAATATGTTGGTATCTATATGCAAATCATCCCTCCAAAGTCACTAAAATGGGTGTCACTGGTAAAGTGGTCGTCCTTTGGAATGTAGAATATCCACAAATCTGGGCTGTAAGAGATCATCACTACCTCAAAGCTCATTTGACCAATAAATAGCATTGACTACATTGTTTAAAATGTAAAAAAGGTACAAGGATGGGAAATACATAAATGTACAATCTCTACGTTTTAAGTTTTGTTAAGAGTGTGACCGGACCCGGGGTGAGCACTGTTATAATCTACAGCACAACTAAATAGTGTAAAATACCAGAGTACAACAGTGCATATTCGGACATGGCAGAGATGGCATTGCAAGCCATGCGATTCATTCAAGGGAATGGACAGATGTGTACACAGCCTCGGTGATAAGATTGAGCCCATGGTGACGCTGTACTGTATCTAGCTTTGAAGCCCGTGAGGCAGCGAGCTTACCGGAACACACCAGGTTCCGACATTCTCCCCTCCTGAAGTCGTGGAACACACGATTACGATGCTCCTGCAGGAAGGAAACAAACCACCAAAAACACACGTGTACAGCCTTTTGTTAAACCACTTCTGGATGAAGGCCTCCCCATACCATGTCAATAATGAGGGTGGTTTGACCAGACTTCAACCATGCCAAGTAACTGCTGGTTGGTGAAGGCCGGGAGAAGACGTGGGAAAAGTACAGGACAATGGATTTTTCCAAAATGTAGCTCCAGCCTAATATGCATGGACAGCAATCCGAAGACTATCCAGGCTCAAACCTTGCTTAACTTCCGAGATCAGACAAGATCGGACACATCCAGGTGACTTGGGGGTCAAAAAGCAACGTAAGAAAATTACAAAAAAATTATGAGAGGACCACTCCTCACCATTCCATACAGCGCGATGTAAATACCCAGTCCTAAAAAACCCTCTACAAGTGTCTCAGCCAAGTTGTGGCAGTTTTGCCAATATTTAAGAACCCGAATGGCAGACACACCTGCTTCATCTTGGCATGGATATAAAAGCAAGAGTAGCCGAGCTGTGTTATCTTCTTGGCCAGCAGCTCCACGCGCTGAGTTGAGTTGCAGAAAATGATCGACTGATTGATCTGCAGCTGTGGGAATGGAAAAAAAAGAGAAGGATTAGAAGAAAGCACAAGGGAGGGTAAAGATAAAAGGGCAGATGCCACTCCACTCAGAACACATTACATTTTCAATTTTTTTTTACCTTTAACTGTTGAGGAAAACGAGGGTAGAAAACAATGGATTTCACCGTATTTGCAAAAATGCCATTTCCAAACTGCTAAACTACACCATAAATAAAGTGACAAACCTATATCAGGCAAGTTGACTTACAAACATCCTCACTTATGGACCAGTTACCATGACATTGTTTTTACATTGACTTGCAAACACGAACTTGCATTTGCAAACTAAACCCCATAACTATTTTATTCAGCGAAGCGATCCTCCACGAGATATGGTCATAGCAACCTGCTGGGAGCGTGCTGGTGCATGCCCCCATGTATGGAGCGGTAGCGCAACCAGGGAGTGCGCTTCGCTACCAACCCAAGTTAGATTCCCATTCATGACCAACATCAGTGACCATTATTTGAATGGATCCTGGGCCTTCGAGGTAGACTTGGCCTCAAATGAGTACCTGGTGCATGCAGTGTTGGCCACTCAACCCCTCGTGTGCCGTGCCTGCCTTTATAGGCGCTGCTTGATAACAGTACTTGCCCCTACAGCCTGTCAAGGCTAAAAAGGGGATTATTTATATTTGTTGTGCGTATGCACGCACAATTGTGGAGACTCATTATGCCCCTTCTTATATTCAAGCCACTATCAGGACTCCAGGAAAGTGAAAATTTAAATGGATTGTTTTACATTGTTATTTTATGTTTTAACTACTAAACGGCATTATAAGCAAACGTGCAATATTTATTCTTACTTACGAGTTTAACAATGTGCCCCCTTTTCTGTTGAACCGTAAACACATTTTATAACACTAACCATGTGCATTTTAAAAAGTACATTGCGTTCCGACTTACCAACGGGTCTCAGAAACGGAACCCGTTCGCAAGTTGAGAACTGCCCAAACTGCCAATTCATCCATTGGCTCTCAATCTAGCCTGGGATCAATTTCTAGAGCGCACTCTACATCTTCAAGATTCTTAATGGACTATCCCCCACCACCCTACCCTCCCCCCACCTGTTCATCTCACTCGATGCTCCACAAACCTAAGGTCTTTTTCAATGGCCCCCCAGTCAACCATCGCTCGGTGTGCAGCCACCGATTCGATTTTTAGAACATAAATATGCCCAATGTTTCATCCAACTTCTTGAGATGTGGCCGTATTTTAAATTATATACAAATATAAACTCATAATAAACGTTTTTGGGTTAGATCGCGTTATTTATAAATGTGTCGTGATCTAACCCAAAAACGTTTATGAATAATATTGGTTGCGAAAGCCTACGTGTTAAACTGACAAATATAAACTGTTGTCAATGACCTTGTGTGCCCATATAAAATCAGACTTCCAGGGTTGGGGACATACATTACAAACGCGAACATGTGCGAGGGCCCATACCTTGGAGAAGAGCGTGTTGAGACAGTGCACTTTCTGGCGCTCATTGACGTAAGCATAGAACTGTGTGATGCCCTTCAGAGTGAGCTCCTCCATCAGGTTTATCTCATACGGCTTCTGCAGGTGCCGATTCTTGATGGATCAGAAACAAAACATTATTAACATAAAGCCAGGAAGCTCTTGCAGTTGAGCTTTATTTTGAATTAATTATTGCATTGTCAGTTTCATCAATCACTACCTCATGAATTCCATATTCACCAACTAATCATCGTAATTTACAGCAATTGTCAATTAATTGCAGGATAAAGGCCGTCAGTCGTGGGGATTCACAGATCATATGACCAAATGTCACAACCCTGGCAAGTGCAGGTTGGTTTAAGGGAGTGACCCAGGCCCTAGGACCCATTCTGATTTTGCTCACCACTGATGTTTGCCAAGGCAACTGAACCGAGGTCTCAAATTAATTGATAGCAGTGAGCAAGCCTTTGTATTATTGTATGTAGTTATATTTGTTGAAATATATTGCTGTCTTTTTTTGTAGTGCATAGTCAAATATATAAAGATGACTGCCACTAGCATATCAGTCCACTCCACCCCCTTATGTAACATACACATTTCCAAACCAGGGGTTCCCAACTTGACCTGTGGAGCACAGCGTCAATTCAAAACATGTTTGCAGACCACTATGTGCTGACAAATATGGATTTCAGAAAAAACCCTCAACAGCTCCATGGATTGTTTACCAGTCTTGAAGAACACTAGGTCCACAAACCTAAGGATGGAAACTACTGGTTTGAACTCCAATTAATGTTCATATTAGATGTGTAACAATTAATTAATTGATATATATTCTAATGGTTCCTACATATACATTACATCCTGGAAGAAAATGTTTTTCAGTTTATGCGTGTTGTCATGTCTTTTTATGCTTCTGGCCATGCCAGTCACAATTGTTAAAAGAATGTTCTTGAATCAAACGGCAACTCCATATCATCGATTCCTGAAAGAATTAAATGTCAAGACCCTTCGTTCATACCAGGGTTGCTTCAATATGGCGATATGCTATATAACACAATACAAGATCAATAATGTTACATGATTATAGTTTAATGCTTTTTGACCTTCATTTTCTAACAAGTTTTAAATAAGAGTTCACAATATAGACCTAAAAAAATTGCGATTGCCAATTTAAATGCTTTGAAAAGCATTTCATCGATTGGTTATATGACTTCACAATTTCCTGTAGTCTGTTTGACTCATTAGTTCTTGTGCAACTGACAGTGGTATATAAGTGTGATAGAATGGAAAATAAGTCCTAATATAGCAGATGTATTTTGATTGAACTGCAGTTGAATACAAGTAAATAAAAAGCACGACCAAAAATTTGCTAAGAGTCTCAAAACTGATAGCCATAATTCTTGTATTGTGAAAACAATCATATTGTATTGTGAAAAAAGATATCATGCCAAAGCAAGCATCGCAGACCCGCACACGTCGGGGGAAGTGGTACAAACGCTGCAGGGAGGCTCACCATGAACTTTTGCACACTCAGCGGGAAGGTGGCGGAGTACAGCAAGATCTGGCGGTTGCGCGGCATGGCACGGATGATGTCATCGAGCATCTGCACAAAGTCCTGCGACAGAAGCTTGTCGGCCTCATCCAGCACAATCATCTGCACGGCATCCACTTTGGCCAGGCCCTTGTTGATGAGGTCCAGGATGCGGCCAGGTGTCGCGATTATGACGTGCACTGCGAGCGCGGGACAAACGGATATTGGCGACAAGGCTCAACGATGATACGACAGGCAGTGCTTGCGTCCACAAGCATGACCTTACACTTTATTTGTCGGCACAAAGTCCTTGCAGCAAAAAATGTAACTCTTGATATCCTGAATGGGAGGGGGGGGTATGGCCCAGATAAAACAGATAATTTTAAACTAATATAGGTATAAAAGCCATATGTTTCCTATGAAAGATGGGAATGAAAAAGTAGAATGTGTCCTGTTTTTAATACTTCCTAAAAGTAATTGGTTTATTCCTCACGTTTGTGGAAGCACAGCCATGCTCCAAGAGGCATTTGACCACCAATATATTTTTTTATAAAAGCATTGAGAATCTGCAATCTGGATAATCTACCCACATATATGGACATTCAACAGTATACAGATGTCTTCTTTGGTTCTTTCGGTAAAGTCACGTAGAATGAGAATAAAATAATAAATTGATTAAATAAAATAACACAATAATAATACAGATGTTTCATATAGCTCTTCGTGCAAGTCATAAGGTAACATGTTTGGGAGTGATTCCCACCTATCAGTGGTGGTTTGTGACATCGTAAGACCACCCCCCCCCCCCAGTTCCCCTCACCAACCTACACTGACCATTAATTTATACAATCAACTTGGATACTGAAAATGCATTTTACTGCAACAGAGTAAATGTATTAATGTTTTGGCTACATAACATAAAGTTAGTCACAGATCAATATTGTATAAGGTTAGTTTGGCCGAAACAAAGGTATTTCTTTACTCTGGGATTAAAAATATATAGAATAAAAACCGTTATTTCATTGACTTGCACCATCATCCTCTGCTTACTTACATAACCAATGTTTTATAGTATTGTGGTTAGTGGTTTATCAAGACCAAGGTTAAGAAAATCCACATTAATAACCTAAAGGTGGAAACACACCACATGGTAATACGCCAGAGAAAACACATTTCACCTCAACGGCTTGCATCACCCATGATGATGCCTGACAGCGACGTAGTATATCAACGCATTTAGATGCCCAATAACACATTACATAACCACCCAACATTATGAAGGCACAGTTGGGATGTGTGAAATGTAGCCGATAGCAAATTGTCTTCACTTGAGTTGAATGAAAGCAGATTAACACCCACATCTTTACTTGCTCCACACAACTCGGCTAAACCTCGATTTGCTCCAGCTTAACAAAAGCCTACATTCCAATTAAACTGCATGAGAGTGCTTAAATATAACAAGAATTACCCAGGTTTTATTATAGTACAATGATCAATCTCAGTAATTGTTAAACAGTTGTAAATATCCAAGTATGAAACGACATGTATAATAAATTACACATTTGAATTAGTGATATTATCTCGTTCCAAATGTGTTTGTTTCATCTCGATTTAACACTTCGAAATAATATTTTTGAAGCGTTTATTAATTCTGTCCATCTGTTACAGACAGAGGGGAACAGAACTATTGGAAAGATGATACAATGAACCCACCTGCAGTATAAAGCGGAGTTGTTAGGAGGGACTTTGTCCTTTAGAAAACTGGACAAATTGACCAGAGTTACCAAAATTTGAGACAAAACAGAATAAAAAATAATTGCAAATAACCAAATGCGGTTTGCCGCGACAGCTACCTCCCATCTTCACTGCTAATGACTACCGAACGCGAATGCGTTTTGGGCAAGTGTTATGTAAAGCACACATGGTTTTCCTAACTTATTTAGAACTCGTTTAGTTGTTCAAATACCCAAAATGAAACATTTGCACATCAATACATGCAATTTGCATATAATCGCATTTTATGGATGTGTCATGAGCCTAAGAATATACTTTCATATTGTTACATGTTACGTTGGAAAGCTAGGGGTGATGATAGCCTAGGCATGATTTACAAGAATCGTTTTTTAATTTTGGCAGCAGATCTCCCCTTAAACCGTGTACGCATGCGAGCGCTGCTCTTTACCAGTCTCGTCGAGACGCAGAATGTCGTCTCTCAGGTTGGTGCCGCCGGTGGTGGCCATAACTTTGACGCCACCCATGTGCTTGCTGAGCTCGATGCAGATCTGGCTGGTCTGCAGCGCCAGCTCACGCGTCGGCACAATCGTTAGTGCTGCCAGGGACACACGGAGGAAGTCAGAGCTACACTAGCATCACCTTGGATGCATCAGCCCACACAAGTCAATAAAACTTCACAATAAAATGTGGCTATGCGGAGCAGTGGTACTGTGCTTTCATCAATTATTGGTCTACAGACCACAACCTCGGGTAGTCATGCCATCTGTGATCCGACTGGAAGCTGCCATCAGTTGCGCACTAGGGGGCGCTATGATCAGATGTGTCAAGGTTTTTTTTACAATAGAAAATGGTGACGGCAACCATTGCTGGTTCAAACGCCAATGACCATTGTTATAAAATTGTCTTCGTGCATCGTAGCCCTCAGGCGTCGTGTGTGCCAACATGAACAGGTCGAGAGGTACCTTGAATGTAGGGCTTCTTCATGTCCAGACGCTCTAGTAGGGGAATGAGGTAGGCTCCGCTTTTACCGGTCCCGTTCTTGGCACGCGCCAGAATATCTCGCCCAGACAGTGCAATAGGGATGCTCTCTTCCTGCAGGCGCAAAGTCAGATTTAGCACAGCAACAGTATTAGTATTCATTAAGCTATCCAGTGGCACCGACATAAATTTGAAAATGTCACCATCTAGCATGTACACTCAATAATCTATTGTCTGGTATTTTGTATTGCCATTTGTCCATCTCCGTAGTATCGTCCCATCTCGAGTGTAAATTAGCACATCATGCATATCATTTGCATAATTGGTCAATGGAATGTCAACAACTATTGAGTCCTCATGCAACAATAGCCCCTACAAAAACACACTTTATATGAAACGAGCTTTTTTGCCCATCCAAGGACAAGTGTATATTGCAGTAAATCTGAATTATTCAATAGAAAAATTCTTCAGCTCCTGATTATTAAAGGTGGGGGTTGCCCCATGTGGAGTGACGTCACCCGCGAATGGTTATTGGGGAGGGGTGCGGCATGTGGAGTGCACGACCTTGCGTTCGTGTAAATTTTCACGCAGGCATGAATATTAATGAAAAGGGGGGGGGGGGGGGCTCTTTTTCAGTGACGTCACACACGGACGTAGCACTCTGCAGATTAATTTTTTACCGTCACTTTCTGTAAAGAAACGTCATATTTGAAGCGACGTGGCGCAATAAATTATTTAATTAATCTCAACCGTCCTCTGCGTTCGTGTAAAAAGCTACCCACTCATGAATATTAATGAGGGGGGTGGGCTTCATGTGGAGTGACGTCACACGCAGGACGGACAGACATTTCTGGGTGATCATAGTAATTAACTTTGTAAAACATGCCAGAGTTCAAAAAAGGTCTCTTTTGCAGACCTGGCATGCAACAATTATTTACAGCAATGTACACAATATTCAATATATTCCATAATGTTCCGTGAAGATATAGCACTTGCATGCTCAAAGCAAAATCTATGCACGTACCCTTGTTTTAACACTGCATTTGGTACAGATATTTTTTGTTTATTATTTCAGGTCTCATTTGCACGAGACTAAAAAATGCACACATTGGATTTAGAACATTTCTCAAACCAAATAGTGACCTGTCATTCGACGGGTGCGTCATTACCAGAACCAATAATACAAATGGATTTTGTTGAAAGGCCAACATCAAATTAGTTGTGCAAGTCTCAAGATGAGGAGCTATTGGATTATGTAGAGTACCCTACCGACTCGCAATTCAATAACTCATTATGAACTGGGGTTAAGACTCAATGATTAAGTGCACCATCTTGTTTGTACCAGCAATTGCCTTAAGCAATATTTTAATAAAACTTTAAAGAAATTGTACATAATCAATACCCACTGAGAATCCAAGAGGCATGGAAATAAAAAAAATACATTTTGAAGGTGATGAATTGTCACAATGCACTGGAAAGTTCTCACCTGGATTGGAGAGGGTTTTTCCCAGCCCTTCTCGAAAATGCCCATGAGCAGCTCACGCTTCAGGCAGTAGTCCTCAAACTCGTTTCCTTTCGTGGCGGTCACATCCTGCACACAGACACCACTGTTGCTCACCCTCCAGTCGCACAAATGGGTTGGGCCACGTCTTAAGCATTTCTTCTCGTGCTTTTCCTGAAGATACCCTCAGTGGTGCATGGTGAATGCTTCAAATGCTCAACACGCAGCCCAATCCAGAAGATCCAAATTGGGAATTTGACAAAAACCTTAGTGAAAGTGGGTGACCAACATGAAACAAAGCCACTTACTGAAGTCTTTACTCTTCTGTCTTTTGGTGGCAACTTCAGACCTGCCTTCCAGTCATCACCAGGTCTAAAATGTTGCACGCAAACAAAACAAATTCTTACCAAGATATGCTTATGGTAATCAGAATATGGTGCAAATTATTCACAATCCAAGGTCACCAAAACACAGCCCAAATGACCACTGTAAAAGTAACCATTGCATTTGTCAAGTAAACAGAGCAATGTTCTTCTAAACATCACGTGTCCTTCGGTTGCTTGAGCTAACACCTCAGACAATTCAGTCAGCAGAATCTCCATGTTCGAAGGAGCATGGGGTAATGCTCATCGGTTGGCAGCCGAGTAGATAAAAAGTTCACTCGTATAGCAGCGGTAGGCTGCAATGCAGAGTTCTAAAAAAGTGGTACGTAATATGGGCTGTGACATTGCCTGGCTCAAGCGTGGTTGCTGCGGTTAACAGTTTGAATCCAGCTGCCATCCACAGCAGATGTATTAACCTTAATATGTGCATGATACTTGCAAGAGTATGCTATTGTGTGCCAGGATTAGGGCAACAATTAGAAAATTACCAGTGACTTATTCAAATAAGATTATACTGTGCAATTATTGTCCCCTACTGGCAGATTAATGTCCAGGGCACTTGCAATTTAGACTTTTATCGACCACGGAGATAGAGTGGTTGCACGGACCTCAAGACTAGGCTTTACGGTTAGTATATCAGCCAAATAATATGGCTCAACATCAGAAAAGTAATTTGGTCTTCTCTCCAACACTCATGTCACTCTTAAATGGTATTTTGGCCTATTCTTTCATGCTGGCCACTAGTCTTGGAATATGTACTTGTATCCACACTACGCAACCACACTCTTAACTGCTGATCGACTGTGATGTACTCATTTATAATTGCTTGGTGGACAGATGGGGGGGAGGGTTAAAAACGTTTCCCATTGTTTTAATTGCTGCACTGGCAGATCAAACTGCCAACATATGGATTGAAAATTCAGCAACAACCATTACACCACAGCAGGCTCATGTTAGTGTTGTTAAAGATCCAAGGCACAAACAAGCTCCAATCACAAATAAATACCATGACCAGTGGTTTCCAACTTGTGGTCCGCAAAACTGAGAAGTGGCATGCAAAAGGACTGCAGACATTTTATTGCATGGTGGCCCTTAATGTCGAGGGTTGACGTTGGCCCACAAGTCCAGAAAGGTTGGAAATCAATGATTTATGTTTTGCTGAGCTGTCCAACCAGAGCTTGAACTTCAATAGCATAAGTGCATTCTACAGATGTCAACTTTACCACTCCAATACAATTTTACACGTCAATAAAATAATTTCTGAAGTTAACTATGGCAAAATTACTGCCCATTCCATTGGAATCTTTTGTTATATTTAACAAAGCTTCAAACTCAAAGCATGAGTCTGCAGCAACACAGGAGAGTCGTGCATGTTAGAGCCAGGCATTGAACGGCCGGCTTTTACTTGGGTCCCTTTAAAAATTGTGTCCGCTCCTACATCCTGCAAACGAAGTTGGGGAAACCCCTACCATGCCACACGGCTGATGTGACGGTGACCAAGCCCCATCTAAAACATCCAACTGTACACGTGGAAATGGTGAGACTTGTTTATATTTACAACTTATTCGATTTAGCTAAGTAAAACCACCAATAATCTTGAAATTATTACTTAAATAATCCAATAACCCAGCTCTACCTCAGACCACACCAAGCACCCTTACTTGACACCGCTGCCCGCGCCTGGGTTCTGCGCCTGGGACCCTCCATGCATGCTCGCCGACTGCAGCGCTGACGCAGACATGGGCATCGGGCCCTTGGACTGAGGCATCATAGTGGGCGCGTTCACTCGGAGCATGTTGGGCCCTGTCGTGGACCTCATCTGGCCGCCCATGCCCACGGCAACACCGTTTTCTGTGCGTGTGGCAGCCATCGTTTCCGCCCTTTAAGAAGTTCAATCTTGGTCGCAAATCTGCTGCTCGTCCCTCCACTCGCGGCCCAAAACAGCAGTCCGTCAAGAATCTTCACAAGTTCATATAAATAACGAAAAGAAAAATCTTCGAAATTATATACTCTATATTGAATTTTCTTTAAAAATAAAAACGCAAAAAAATTGTCGGCACTCCGACTCTTTAAAAATCAGAGTTCGAAGAATTCAGAAATTATGAGAAATTGAGGTTTTTTTTTGAAGTTCGAAAGCTGGAGAACTCTTCCCCGCAGCAGTCGTCTTTGTTGTGCGTCCAAATGTCAAGAGGAGCGGTCGCGTTTCCAGAACGCGCCGGCCTCCGTGAGGACGCTGGCAGGGAGCTCCCCGAAATCACCTCAGGAGACCTCCAACCACCGCACACAGCTTCCGCTTGTCAGACTCACAAACTGCAAACACGGCACAAAATAAAATATGGCTAAAGAAGCCAAGTCAAACAAAACAGACAATGCGCCCGTTAAAAAGGAAAGACGTTCACTGCAGTTCGGGCATGCCTTTTATTTTTCTTAGATCAATTAATTGGCAGATTTCTCAATATATAGTTAAGCATATAAATCATGCAGCACTCTAAATTATTTTATACGAGTGGTTCTTGGCAATAACAATGTAGGAAAACATTTTAATATGCTCGACTATTGATGAGCACTTGAAGGTCGAAACTGGTGAAGGGGGTTCTTGTAAACAAATACGGACGGACATTTAGGCATGTTCGTTACTTCAATGAATTACCGTGTTTAACCTTTAAGTATTGCTTTGTTATATGTTTCTGAGGAAATTAGATTTAAACATCGATTAGCAAAGCTATTATTCTCACAGTAAAATTCAGCCCACCCTCAAGCGACAATGTAGCCTGGATTGTGGCCAATGGTCCCTACAATGTAGCACAAAAGGTCATACAGCTGGAGACGCGTGTTAAGACCCCCCCCCCCACACTCTCAATCCAGCTGTGGCCTACACACTCGCAAATATCCGGAGGTAGGGGTTAGGGCCAGTGACATGGCTAGTAGCAGAAGCTGGTCGGCTAGAGTCAGTGAAAGGGATAGCACTTGTGAATGGGGGGCCAATTGGTTAGTCAGCGGGACGAAATGAAGAGGCAAAGCCAATGGAAGGGCTATAGGACGAGGATGGCTGGGAGCAGGAGAGGACCAGTGTGAGGGCTCACACTCTTGACTAATTGGTTAGGGATTATAATTGTTATTTAGTGCTACTCTCAAAACCGCTTGCCCGTTCTCCACATTGCAAAGTTGTAATATTAAGTCCACTTTGTTTCTGGTGTTTACAGTGCCTATCAGTCGAAGCACTTGCCTCCCATGGGAGCAAAAGTTTCGTAATGTTTTCAGGCAAAGTCACCTTTTTTGTTGCAGCTCAAACATCGCGAGTTAAAACAGAACCTTGCCGACATCGGCATATTGGTAATACACAATTGTTACTAATTTTAGATACATTTCGCACGCTCCCAAAGCACCCAGGGCACTGCTAAAATGGACAGCAGTGGCGTATTTTCTTAAGATGGTGGATCAAGACTTGCGAAACTCCCAGGCGGAACCCCGCAGAGGTTCTAAGGAACTCTGGGACAGAGCAAAGGGAGAAGACGGCCAAGCGGGGTTCGTGGACCCGTCTCTTTCACGAACCCGACACAGTTGCGTGGATTTCTGCCTCAAGCACTTCGGGGGGTTTTCCCTCACACCCCCCCCCCACAAAACGCAAAAAAAAATCGCTCATTAAATTGAAATTGGTTAACGATTACAACGTAGGACCCTCCCCGAATGAAGAGACTCGAGTACACGGCGAGGATTGACTGGAATAAAACCATTCGAAGTTAACGTTTATCCGTTTGTGCAATGCAGCACAATGAAAGCCAGGAATTTCATTACGCACCATTATACGATGTTTTTTTTTATCGTAAACAACTACTGTAACAGGCAACACCGGTAACATAACAGCCGCTACGTCCTTCTCGATGCAATCGTGTAATACGCCGGAACATTTAAGATTATTTAGAATATTTAACATTTTAAAACAGTAAAAGCGCAATAACCTAAACCCACGTCACAAACCCGGGCCACAGATTTCGCTCGACACAAAAAAAAACCTCAACGCCACCAATGGTGCGCATTTTGAGCGTTTCACACCAACAACAGTTCCCACAAGAGCCACGGGATGATAAACTGCGCTTATTTTGTCGGCAATTTTGCTATTTTACCCAAACATTGCGAATTTATCGTTGGGAGGGGACGGTCAGGAGAAGCCTCCGGGGCCCTTCGCATCCGCGTAGTACACAAACAACCAGAGGCCAGATTCGCGTCGCCATAAACCCCATATCACCGAGCATCGATCGCGGAAAATAATGTCGCCGTTTCGATAGGCAGGACGCGCACGAACCGTACGAGGCGACTGCGTCTCTCGATGAGCCCGGCTTGGGTGCGGATGGAGAAGGATTGATTTGTCTCTCGAACGCCTCTCCCTCTCAGCTGCCCAACTCCACCAACATGGCCGCTCCCTTAAGTACGTCCAGCTCCCACAGTGCACCGCGGGGCCCGGGCCAGCGAGGGGGCGAAGGGGGGGGGTGTTTGAATGGAGGAGCGGGAGGGGGGGACGAGGGGGGCGGGGCGGACGAGGGGGGGCGGGGCGGACGAGGGGGGGCGGGGCGGACGAGGGGGGGCGGGGCGTCGGGGAGTTTTAATTGAGGGGCGGGAGGGGGGACGAGGGGGGGTGTTGAGGGGCGGGGCGCGAGGGAGTTTTAATTGAGGGGCGGGAGGGGGGGACGAGGGGGAGGGGGGACGAGGGGGAGGGGGGACGAGGGGGCGGGTTTAAGGGGCGGGGCGCGGGGGAGTTTTAATTGAGGGGCTGGAAGGGGGACGAGGGGAGGGGCGAGCGGGGGAGAGGTGGGTTGAGGGGCGGGGCGCGGGGGAGTTAGAATTGAGGGGCGGGGGTGTGGGGGGTTGGGTTTAATGTAACTATTTAAAACTATGATTTGAAGTTTTCGTGACTGCAGGAATGAAAATTAAATAAATTATTTTCTTTCTACGTGACTTTACCGAAAGAACCAAAGAGTACGTAAACTATTATTGTTTATGTTACCAGGTAACATATAAACAGCCCTTTTTCAGAAGCTCCCTGGCCGCAAATGACAGCCCAACGAAGTGGCCCATCGCGTGGACATTTACAGCCGCAGCCACGATACATGTGAAACGCGTGGCGATGTTCATTCTAAATGTATAATAAAGGTTTTTGGGTTAGATCGCGTTATTTATAAATGTATCGTAACCCTCCACCACCCGACACGGCCAATCAGCAAAAAAGTGTCACGTTGACAAAAGACAAATAATTCACTACTTTAGCCCACCGGTGTGTTGAAGAGTGAATCCACAACATTTACAGTTTGAGTACGACGTTTCGCTGGTAAATACATCCAGCATCATCGGACAATTCGCCAGAATGGTAAAGCCCTCGCTTGCTCCCGAGCGAAAAACCCGGAGGAACAAATTCCACGCAACCACGGGGAGAGAGAGAGACACGCAAAACTTCAATTATGCAGGTGGCGTCAGGGTCGGGACCCAACCCACGGCCTCCTTGCATAGGAGGCGATGTGTTATTTATCTCCAGACTTTGTCACGCTTGTCCTTTGGCCGTGTTGTGCTCAGGTCGCGGTGGTTGTGTTGCGGCGGTAGTGATTATGTTGTGGGTGAGTTGTGGCCATTGCGTGGTTGACTTGTCGAGTGTTAGCCGGCCCTTGTCTGCGACACACGTGGGTTCTGTGATGGAGGCCAGCCCTGCCTGTTTCTCCAGACGGAGGACTCCGTGAGCAACCCCTCCCCTACAACCCCACCTCCTCATCCCCTCCCCTCCACCTCCCACTGCCTCCATTCTGCCCCCCCTCCAACCGACTGCCCCTGTCATCACCATCACTATCAGTGCTATCATCACAATCCTCATCAATGCCATCATGGTCATCATTATTGTCATAACCTATTGTTATTGTTATCCTCATCATCACCATCATGGTTATCACCATTGTCATAAGCCATTTTTATTATCATCATCACAATCCTCATCATTGCCATCATGGTCATCATTATTGTCATAAGCCATTGTTATCATCATCATACTTCGCATTATTGCCATCATGGTCATCATTATTGTCATAACCCATTGTTGTCGTCATTGTCACGAACCTCACCATCGTGGTCATCATCATTGTCATAACCCATTGTTATTGTCACGATCCTCATCATCACCATCGTGGTCATCATCATTGTCATAACCCATTGTTATTGTCATGATCCTCATCATTGTCATGGTCCTCATCATCACCATCGTGGTCATCATCATTGTCATAACCCATTGTTATTGTCATGATCCTCAACATCACCATCATGGTCAGCACCACCGTCATCATCATCATCGTCACAATCCTCATCGCCATCATGTTCATTACCATCATCGTCATTCTCATCATCATCTTTGTTGCGATTACGCTACCTTGCAGGACTGGGCTCTGCACCTCTTCTTAATGGACTAGGGTGACCCAGGATTCAGAGGGGCTACGTACGGTCAGTGACTACGTTCAGTGACGAGTGTGCATTGTGTGCCAGTGTATTTGTTAGAGGGAGCTTATGTAATGGTGGCATCTGTGTCAGCCTGCGAGTGTGTGTTTTATCTCCCACGTATTCTGTCAGTGTATAATGATAAACTAAATACATTTTGCAGCCCTCTATCAATCCACTGCTGGATGAAGCCCGTGACGGCCATGGGGGTTGTTTGATCATACCTCCCCACGCTGGTCACTCCCGGATCGGAAAATCAGTGTGGGTAACAGAACCATTTCACCTGTGACTGGCCCCTCGTGTGAAGCCGTGGCCTGGCGATGCAGCTCTTGGCCGCCTGGTTCATCACAATCGGTGGCGTCTCTACGCCTGCACAAAGACCTTGTTGTGCGCGCGTGTGCATGCAGTAGTGAGTTAACGTCTCCTAGCCACAGCGGCTCGAATTGGGCTGAGGTGGTGGGGGGGGGTGTTGCGATGAGGGGAGGGGCGAGGGGAAAGATGAGAGGGGGGGGTGTTGACGAGGGGTTGGGGGGAGGGGATGGAGCTGCCCAGGCGTTTAAAGGCCCCCCCCACCCCCCTTATCACCCTCGCCCATTGACGTAGACCGGGGACCCGCTTGTCCGCTCTCGGCTTGTTTGGTTCCCAACATATATATAAAGTGGTGACGGCGTTCCCATTCCATTCGCAGTTCGACTCAGGTGGTGAACCAGGTGGGTGGATCAGCTCCGTGCTGTCTCTCTAAACTCACCGCATTCGTCGTAAACACTGCAGTAGGTCAATTGAAGTAGGCGACGCTTCGAGCCACGGACCTTATTTACAAGCGCACGAAGAAGGGCCATTGTCCAACGCGTATCCTATTCGTTCGTTTTTTTGTGCTCTTTTCCTTCTAGGGCCACACGTGTTATCGACGAACGCGCTTTCGTTCTTTCTTGTCTGCGCTTTTGCACCACTGTCAAACGCAGTGTCACTGAATAACGTCTCTCTCACTCTCTCTCGAGGAGCGACGGCGTTCGTGCGCCGTTGTCCTACTATCTCGCTCGACGAGCTTTGTGTCTTTGCACTCTCACAAAGACACGCGGTACCGTCAGCTGCCCCGCGCACGCATCCTGTGTTGCTAGACGAAGAGGTGGCTGGGGGCCGTGGCAGGGGGTTGTCAAAACGATGAGTACAGACGGTGGGAGCATTGTAGGACAGTAACATCGGCAGATTTTTTGTTCTGTTCTCCCATAACAATGCAGCGGTAGCAGGCTATAGCAGCAACATGTGTGTGTGTGTGCACTGAGGCCACTCATATACAAGCACTATCCAGGCTTAACCCTGTTTAGCTTCCGAAATATGACGAGATCGACGAAGACCAGAAGGAGAGCACGCATGACACCTGTTACTCTTGGGTTCTTTCGGTAAAGTCACGTAGAAAATAAAATTAAATAATAATAGAATACGACGTTTCGATTGCAACACAAGCAACCGTCATCAGGTAAGGATGAATTAGAAAACCAAACATAGTAAACTTAGAAATATAATGCAATACAACACGGAGAGTCGGCTAAATTTAGCAATCTTTGGAAGAACGTAATCAACCAGGTGGGGTTGACTGTTGTGTTAGCCGACTCTCTGTGTTGTATTGCATTATATTACTAAGTTTACTATGTTTGGTTTTCTAATTCATTCTTACCTGATGACGGTTGCTTGTGTTGCAATCGCAACGTCGTATTCTATTATTATTTAATTTTATTTTCTACGTGACTTTACCGAAAGAAGCAAATAGTAATTCCTGCAATCACGAAAGCTTCCAATCTAGTCATTACACCTGTTTTTAAGGCTCTACATTGGCTGCCTGTCAGTTTTAGATTTAATTTCAAGATTATTTTTAATTGGTTTTTAAGTCACGAAATGGACTGGCACCTGAATACACGTCTGACATGCGTCTAAGGTGTGAACCCAGTCGCTCCCTCAGGTCCTCCGGCACTGGCCTCTTGGTTGTTCCGAAGGCCAGGACTCAAACACTTATGGGGAGGGCAGCCTTTAGCTGCTGTGGTCCTCGTCTTTGGAACGGCCTGCACGAGGATCTGAGGGCATTAGAATCGGTGAATGTTTTTAAACGACATCTTAAAACGTAACCTTTTTATATTGGCTCATAATTAGGATGCCCTGATGGTGTGATTTTTATGTTTTTTTATTATACGTTTAGTTCATTGTGTTACTTCTTTTTTAACGTATTAATCTTATTGTTTCGATTGTGCCAGTCGCTTTTAATGTGTCTTGTAAAGCACTGTGCATTGCATGTTATGCACGAATTGTGTTATAGAAGTAAAGTTTTATTTGATTTGGCCGGTGATGAATTGCACTGTTAAATTAAAAGAGACGATGGGAGGAGAGGATTCCAAAGTAGAGCAGTGTGAACGAAGACGCAGACAGAGAAGTGTTGTGTGACATGCAGTGTGGTGGTTAGAGACGAAACAGTCAGGGAGACCGAGCCCTCAACAGATAGCTGTGAACCCATACGGTTGACCCCGTATTCTTGTACAGGGAAATTTAGTTTTCAGGTCCATACGGCGTTCAGCCGTTTCAATACCGGGCAAAACAATGTTTTGTCCATTTGTGTTTTTCCCTTGTGATGGGACTGTAGGATGAACGTTGGGATTTATAAGGGGCACGGGGTGACCAATAAGGTCTGAATTGGTCTGTAAAAAGCTAGGGCACTGATAAGGGGTTGCCAGGTTTGTGGACATGGGTGGAGGAATGGACGAGTGAGGTGAACGGGAACTGTAAAACCACGGTAGTAGCAGTAGAAGCACGACGAGGAGGCCACTGACCACCGATGAGCGAGTGGTCGGAGTAAACCAGTGAGTGATGGATCGTCGATGAACCTCTCCCTTACTTTGAATCCCATCAAGTACGTACAGTGGAGGTCAGGAGCATGACCTTGGTGCTTGCATCGCAGATTCCAACTTCAGCGTAGCCTCTCATCTCCGGGCCGCAGACTTTGTCACTGCTAAAGTGCATATGTAGTAAAACAGTCGTGTACACAGCATAAATCAAGCGTCGGTTTGCTGTCCGTTTCATATCATTGCTGATTGCATACCAGCGCGTGTAAAAGTAGTTGTGTGAGGTGACCAGGCTCTTAACTTGGGGGTGGTGAATGGGCAACGGACAGGAATGTTTAGCCGAATTAATTCCACAAGACAGTGTTGTCAGTGTATCAGAAACTCGGCGTCTTATGTGTGTTGTTGGTGGGCACTGCGTGGCTGGGGATTATTCTCGCCGAAAGGTGACAGCTTTTTGGCAAAAATAGATACATTTTGGTCCAAGTCCAATAACTTTGCATAAAAATGTAATTCGCTCAGCAGGTGCGATGTTGACATTTTTGCCATCGTGTTTGCCATGTAACAAATAACATAACACACTGGTTAAAAACACTGGCTTATATTTTTATTTTATTAGATTTGTGCTGTACACAAGGCTTTGGGTGGCAAACAATAAAACAGACTTTCAAAAAATTGCACTGAAAAAAACACATTTAGACGGTAAATATGAGAATCGATTATGAACAAAATGATACTGAGTGATGTCTATTGAATCGATCTGGGAGGCAGGAGTAAATCGTTGCATACAGCGCTTTGTCAACCCCCTGCTCAATGAAGGCATTCCCCACATCGTGACGGTCACGGGAGTTATATTATGACCATACTTCCCCATGCTGATCTTAGTGAATTTGTCAAAGGTGGGGGGGGGGAAGTTTTCGGTTTAGATGTCACTCGCAAACTGATGTTAGCTGTGACCCGGAATCAAAGTAAAAGTAACCGTGTTCATGGCGCAGTGCAATAACCACTGCGCCACCACGACCAGCCCACCCCCACGTGTATCACTGCGTGCGTAGTCGATGTGCCAGTACTGTACTGCTTGTATTCACGAGAGCTCCCCATGCCACCAGTCGCCAAATATTCCAAGCATGCTCGTGACGTGGCCGAGTTACTCAGTCGTGAGAGAGCTGGCCGCCGCGGTGGGCAGATGTTAACTCTCCAAAAATCGACCCTGACGTCCGGCTGTATTTGTGGAGTTTGCGTGTGTCTCTCCCCGTGGTCGCGTGGATTTTTTTTTCAGCGTCTCTCCGGTTTTCCCCTCCACGTTTAGAATCAACATCACGCGTTTAGAGTGTGCTTTTGCACGTGATAAGCCACTTCGTTCAACGATCATTTGTGGCCTGGTCGCTTCTGAAAAAGAGCTATATATAAACATAGTATTAATAAAAAATAGTTTATAGTTTAGTTTATCCTAGGAACAATAACTGGCACATTGAAATGCACTCCCACTACAGTGGCTTACCCGTTCTGGCCGACATTACGCGAGAGAAAAAACAAATCTCTGGCGGGTCATGAAACCGACTGGGAAGAAGCCAGAGAAGGACCCCTCCCGTTATTACACCAAGACACGGTCGCGCCTGCCACTCGTGTGATGGATGTGCACGCGGCACTGCACATTAAACATTAAACATCCCCCGGCACAGCTATTCCCACAACCTTTGCTCGTCACCTTCCCACCGACTGCCCAACCGTCAAGAATGTTTCACACGATCAACCAAATAACAGTTTGCAAAATTAAAACTATTATACTCTCTGGTTCTTTCGGTAAAGTCACGTAGGTATGAAATAAAATTAAATCACGACGTTTCGATTGCAACACAAGCAATCATCATCAGGTGGGAAAAAGCACAGCAATTATTTTTTGTTGTTGCTGAAGTGGCAGAGAGATGCCGTGTGGCAAGAGGTTATAGAGGTCAGAGAGGAGGGAGGGGCAAGCGAGGGGGGTAGGGGGAGGGGAGCGTTGCGTGGACGCTCGGAGAAGGATGTGAGGCTGGACGGGGGGAAGTGGGCGGGGCTGGAAGTGGGCGGGGCTGAGAGCGCTGGGGATGCGCGGGGCGGGGGTGCAACAACAACACCACTGCAGCAACAATGCCAATGAGGCCAACAATGACAATGCAGCAGCAATGCCAATGAAGCCAACAATGACAATGCAGCAGCAATGCCAAACGCTGGGGATGCAATTAACGCGGCAAAATAGACTAGTGCCAGGCAAATATGATGGAAAAAACATAAACAGTTAAGGTTTTTACTTGGTTTATAACATCCTTCCAATGTTTTGATTTAAAGCTTTCGTGACTACAGGGATTCATATTCTTGGTTCTTTCGGTAAAGTCACGTAAAATATAAAAATATAAAACAAAATATAAAAATGTAAAAAATAAAATATATTGTTTTATATTTTTATTATTTTATTGTTTCCCTTCTACGTGACTTTACCGAAAGAACCAAGAACATCCTTCCAATGATTGCTCAATTTGTATCCATCTTCTCGGTTGAAGTTATGTCTATGTTTATATATCTGGATGGCTTCATGAACAAACCTTTGATCGTAGCCAGAAGGTTTCCAGAAAAAAAAAATATCATGCTCTCATGATATTGTTTTTTTCCAAGACCAAGGCAGCAGCAGTCCCCGGTGCTGTTCATGCTGCCCGTGGGGCTTTGCTGTGTCTGGCGTTGTTCATGTTGCTGACGCTGCTCAGGCTCGTTGGTGCTTCTGCTCTTGTGCTGCTAATGCTGACTGTGTTGCTGTGCTGGCGACAGAGGTTGGTGCTAACGGTAGTCCTGTACTGGTATTGAGGGTAGCATTCATATTCTTTGGTTCTTTCGGTAAAAGTCACGTAGGTAAAAATAAAGTTAATCAAATCACGACGTTTCGGAGACAACACAAGCTTCCGTCAAACTAGTTACACCAGATGACGGAAGCTTGTGTTGCCTCCGAAACGTCGTGATTTTTTTTATTTTTTCACCTACGTTACTTTACCGAAAGAACCAAAGAGTATGGATCATTGCAGTCACGAAAACTTCAAATCTAGAACAAGCGGTCGTCTTATTCTTTTTATATTTATAAATTGTATTTTCTATCTACGTGACTTTACCGAAAGAACCAAAGAATTTGAATTCCTGCAGTCACGAAACTTTTATGTCTAAGGTAGGATTAATGTTGCTGGTTCTGTTGCTACCACTGGGGCTGCTCCCGGTGGTCAATGTATCTATGGTATCGTTAATGTTGGTGAAGATGCTAGTGCTGCTGGTGGTGGTAATCGCGGTGCCGGTGTTGATGGTGGTCGTAATTTTGCTCGAGCTGTTGATCATGGCTGTACTGCCGGTGCCAGTGGTGGGTGATTGATGTTTGTGTGCCCAGGCGAGCCCAGGCGAGCCAGCGCGATGGGCAGCAGTGGAAGTGTGGTGCGGCTCGGAGGGCTGGTACTGGGTCTGCTGTGGATCTTCCTCCAGGATTTTGCCTCCTGGCTCAGCCGCCTGCTCGGTATGTGCCCTCGTGACACCCACACACGACATCGGGCACTGAGACCATTGCAGCGAAACACAAGACGGGTGGGGGGGGGGGGGAACCATGCAGACGCATGGATTGTGTGTTGCTTCTCAACGTGCTTTGTGCTAGGAATGGTTTATTTTTTATCAATTTGATGAAGGCGTATGACTTGCTATTACGTGGTTCAGAGGAACGTGGATATTAATGCAGAAATTGGAAAATTGGTAAAGAATGGAAAGTGTAAAAAGCAACGACGTCAAGAGGTGCACACTGGGTATGACATTGAGAGACAGGAAAGGGAACATTTGAATTCTAAAACACTCGTGAATTAAAGACATTTATCTTGTATCTTCATGAAGCAGAGATTTAGAGCAAGCATGTGTGTTGAACTTCTTTCGCACCGTACGTAGCCAACCGTGGTAATCGGAGGTGCGGGGGGAAGCACAACAAACAAAACACAAAAGGCAGTTCAAAATAAATTAGTTTTCAATCTAGAATATCATAAAAGCATGGCGAGGCATGTGTGGAATTACACACAGGCAGATAAACACATTCATCAAGCAACAACCACAAAATAAGAGACATTGTATTGGTCTTCATCCAGCAGTGGCTCGATAATGGCTGATGATGATAATGGTAATAACTTGGGTCTACCCCAGGCTCACCCTGATTACCTTGCCAGGGTAGGAAAAGGAACCCAGGCAAGGAAACAAGGCGAGGCAGACCTGGCCCAGGGTGCGTTAGACATCAACTGCTCTTAAGTTTAAATTTAGTACGGTAATTATAGATCAGAATGGCACACTTAATTAGACGACTTCACATGTGATAAGATAAACTTATTTATTAAAAAGATGTTTTAACATAAATTTATTTGAGGCCTAGAGCCCCCTGTGAACAGGCCAAATATAGTTAACATATTTTTGGGGGTTCTAGTCGTCAATCACTCAATTGGAGTGATATAATCAACTCACGTGCTGGTGCTGGATGGATTGTTACATCGCAGGACCGTGAGAGACAGCAACAGCTTACGAAGGCCTTCATCCAGCAGTGGAGTGATTATGGCTAATGATGACGATGAGCAGTCAAAGTCAGGGCCTGGAAATCTCGCGTAGTGGTGGACATTTCACATTTACATGGAGGGGCCAACGTGGTAATCATTGGTCTACCCCAGAAGGGGGTGGTGGACTGCGATGACTCCTGACCGAGAAAAACCCATGAACCCGATTTGTCAGCAACTGACGATTGGCAGATGCAGAGTGCACTTTTGATCCTCTATTAGCGTAGCTATATATGTTATCAGTTATCCCGCACTTTGCTCTGTGCCAATATAGTTAAACTTTTCTTTTGCTTTGTTTTTGAAAGCCAAGTTTCTTTTTAATCTTGCCAATACATTTGAAGAGTTTTTTCATTGTGGAAACAAAAATTGTGACATTGAAATAACTCACGAGGTATCTCACGCGATATCTCTCTGTGGTATTTACTTCTGTAGGCTGCTCGGTAACCCAGGGGGCTGCATTTCTCTGCAAGAGATACAAACGGATTCATCGACTCGTGATGTGATGCCGATATCACATTATGGGATGTAATTGGGAAAACAATGATATTTTTGTACTGGCTTTGACTACAAACTTTACCTGAACTGAAGCAGTGTTCGTTTTTGTGTTATCTCTGCTTGTATGGGTTAGTACAAAGTGGCGGCTTAAGGGTTTGTGCACTGCGCTACGGACTTGCCGTATGGGTTACGATTCCTAACCATGGATAGCATTCACAATAAGTGACACCTATACCTGTCCCGGTTCTCCCCGAGATCAACTCAGCCTTGAAATGCGACACCTGGTGCGGTGTATGAAGACCAAGGACGCCCAGAGTCGTAGCGACCACACCACCCCCTCCTTTGCTTTAACGCCCTTAATAGATGCTTACTTGAGCATTTGTCCTAAAGGTCTGTATGGGTGTACACTATGGCAGCGTCACACAACCCGTGTGTAGCACTCCACCATGGGGGAATGAAAGCCCATCAGGAGGGCCACAGGCTGCGGCATGGGTAACGTGCAGGAGGAATTTGTTCATATGCGAGAATTTTTTTTTATATCAGTGCCACGTTGTAGCAACAAACTTCACGAGCACACAATATCAAACGAGTGTGGGGCTGGCGGGGGGCGGGCAGCAGAGGGGAAGTGGGGACCAGTGGTCTTTAGTAGGAGGCCACCATAAAAAAAAACAGGTTGTGCATGCACCCCACTTGCAAGGTTGAATGTGTGTGCGTGTGTTTGTACACTTTCCATTTTCACATCCGTGTACACATAGGAAAGATGTGTACATCCGTGTCCATATGTGAGTGTAGGTATATGTTTGTTTGTACATCTATGTGTGTGGTGCATCTGCTAGTAATCTAGGTCAGGCAACCTATGGAACCTAGGTCTGTCTCATAACCTCCTGCCGATGAACCTTTGGCACTTCACGCGGCCTCAAGGTAGACCTAGCCTGACACAAGCGCCATGGTGATGTCCCCGCCGCTTTGTGGTGAACCGCAGTTGTTGGTGTTGTTGTTGTGCATGTGTGCCGTGTAGGCCTCTCGCTGCTGTTTCCACGTCGCCGTTCGGCGAGCCGCGTGTACGCAAAGTGCTCCGGCCTGCAATGCATCGCTCCCATCATTGCCACAATGACGGAGACCCCCGAGACCATGGAGGCAGAAATTTACGGCACCATTCCAGCCTGGATCAAGGGGACCCTGCTCCGAATTGGACCCGGAAAGTTCGAGTTCGGGCCAGACAGGTGACGCAAAGGTTCACACTCCATTGTCGGCGGGAACTCGGATTTGCCCGTGTGTGTGTGTGCGTGTGAAACAACCCCCTACCTCCTCACGGTGCCGGACGGGAAACTCTGTTGTGGACAGTGCTGTGGGGGGAGGGCCAATTCCGATTGGCCCCTCCTCTCATGGCGTCTGTGACCACCACAGTGGCTAAACAGGGGCTCTGGACGGGTGCGAGGGGCTGGTAACCCCTCCACCGTCAACATTATTACCACGAAACCACGAATACAAAATTTAACTAATAAGCTTGTGCCGGAGGCCCCGGGGGGGCAGGCGTCTATGACGTCTCCTGGCCAAACCCCAATTGGCGGAGCCAGGAGATTGAATCTCTACCCTCGGGGCTCCTCCAGAAACAATGAAAAGCCACTTCGTGTGGCCACGTGGAATGTTCGAATGCTCACTGCGGAGGAGAGGCTGCCACTCATCTGTCGGGAGCTGGACCGGTACCGCCTGGATCTCTGTGGCATTCAGGAGGTCCGGTGGGCCGGTTCTGGCTCTTGCCACCATGAGGGGTGGACAGTCCTCTACTCGGGGCAGCAGACTGCCAAACAACAGGGTGTGGCTCTTCTTTTGAACAAAAGAATGAAGGGGGCGTAGGAGCGTGGCGGTGTACTGTGGGAAGCTGTAAGCCCCAGGTTACTTTGGGCTCACCTTCCCATCAACCGGAGGTGAGGAGTGGTGGTCGTGGTTACTTATGCCCCCACCGAAGACGAACATCCGTGGAGGGATGCAGGTAAAGCCGATGAGTCAGATGCCTTCTATGACCTCCTGTCACAGGTGCTGACTAAAGTGACCCCTCGGGATAGAGTCATCTTGTTGGGTGACTTCAATGCCCGAGTTGGTCATGATGCTGGCACCTGGTCTGAAGTGATTGGAGGGCATGGGCCAGATCAGCTCAATAACAACGGGAGGAGGCTGCTGCGAGCCCATGTCCTTGACACCAGGACCTACCGTGGAGCTGATCTTCCCTCTGACCATCGACTAGTCATCTGTAAGATGCACCTGCCATTCTTCCACTCCGGTGGTGGGTGTACACCCAGGACCCCATTCCAAGCTAAAGTGTCCTGGTCTCAGTTATCTGATGAAAGTTGCAAGCGAGAATTTCATCATCGCTTGCGACTGGGGTTGGCATCATCCCCCACTCCTCCTGATGTCGAGGGTAAATGGGCGAGGTTTAGGACTGTGACTCATGCAGCTGCAATGGCTGCTTTGGGTACACGGGCCAGACCTCCCCAGATACCCTGGCTGACAGAGGAGGTGTTCAGGATAGTTGAGAAAAAGCGACAGGCCCACTGTCATCGTCTACAGAATCCCACGTCAGAGAATGAGGAGGCTTACCGCAGCCTTCGCTCGGAGGTTCGGAGAGCCGTGAGGCACTGCAAGGATGGGTGGTGGTCGCGGGTTGCTGAGGAGAAGGAGTCTGCCTCAGTGGCCCGCGATCACAAATCTCTATTTAACTCCATAAAAAAGTAACCTGCAGCGCCACACCTATTACCATCATTCGGGGAAAAAACGGTGATCCAATCTCCGACCCCATGGAGCAGGTTTGTAGATTTGCTGAGCATTTATGTGAGGTCCTGGGGGAGGGGAAATCCCTCAGCCAGGAAAACATCGTGGCACAAAGTGGGGATGACCCTGCTGAGGCTGCGGTGCCTCAAATATTGGAGGAAGTCACCCCCTGTGAGTGGCTGGCTGAGGTGCCATCTGTTGAGGAAGTACTGAAGGCGATCCGGAGTCTGAGACCAGGAAAGGCACCGGGCAGAGATGATCTCCCAAGCAAAATGCTGAGTGAGGGTGGCGTTTGTGCACAGATTGCCCTATATGACATCATAACAACAGTCTGGACCACTGGACCGGTTTTGTAGGATTAGAAGGATGCCCTGGTGGTCCCCCTCTTTAAGAAGGAGGACCGCACAGACTGTAACAACTACAGGGGCATCTCATTCCTCAGTGTGCCGGGAAAGGTCCTGGGAGGGATTATTCAACATCGCCTTGCCAGGAACGCTGAGGAGAGGCTTGCGGAGCCCCAATGCGGTTTCAGGAAAGGGCGGTCCTGCACAGATGCTATATTTTCTGTCCGTCTGCTACAGCAGAGGTGTAGGGAATTCCAGCAAAACCTACATCTCTGCTTTATTGACCTGGTCAAGGCCTATGATACCATCAGTAGGCCTGGGCTCTGGGTTGTTCTTCGTGCTTTTGGAGTCTCTGACCCTCTGCTCACGATCATTAAGGACCGTCATGATGGTGAGCGGGCCCGGGTAAAACTACATGGCCGGGAGTCAGAGCTTTCCCTGTACACCTTGGGGTGTGACAGGGATGTCCTCTGGCTCCCACATTATTTAACATCTATTTTGACCACGTAGTTTGTGAAGCCTTCAATAGCTGTACCGGAGGAATCTCCATTTGGTACAGATATAATGGGAGGCTGATCGATGCCCGAGTGCGGTCAAGGGATGGTTCCCTATTGCTCAACCACGTTATGTATGCCGATGATTTGGTAATAGCTGCTCATTCAGAGGAGGAGTTGGAGACGCTGCTGTTGAGACTGGAGCGTGCCACTAAGAGATGGGGCCTTACCATCAGCCCCAGCAAAACTAAGCACCTGCCTGGGTATTTTGTATCATCGGACACTCCACCCCCCAACTCCCAATCGGTGATGGGGCAGTTGTGGAGAGTTTCCCATACCTGGGCAGTGTGCTTATGACCGGTTCCAGTTTAACAGCAGAGGTCTCACTCCGAATCAGTCGAGCGGCAATATCTTTTCATCGGTTGCATAATGCTGTGTGGAAGCTACCTGGTCTGTCGCTCCGCACTAAGCTTCAGGTCTTCTCGGCCACGGTCATTCCCTCCCTTCTCTATGCTTGCAAAACGTGGACCCCCCTAATGGAACATCTTCGCCAATTAGAAACATTTAGGCTAGCCTGCCTACGATCCATCCTGGGTTTAACCAGGCTGGATTGTGTGAGGAGCTCACAAATCCTTGAAAGATCTGGGCAAGGTCCCATCGGTGAGCTCCTCCGGCAGGCAAGGCTGCGTTGGCTGGGTCATGTAGCCCGCATGCCCAGCCACCGCATGCCGAAACAGCTTTTGTTCGGCCGGATCGAGGGGGCTTAACGGGCACGGCACGGGCTAGAGAAGAGATGGAGTGATGTGGTACAGGAGAACGTGGAGCTGAGTGGACTTGCCGTTGATTGGTAACAGCGGTGTCAAGATCGGCCTCTGTGGAGGAGGCTCGTGAAGGATGCTACTGGGCAGTTGGAGGCAGTCGCCCTCCAACAACAACGGAGGGCGGAGGAGCGCACTCACAACAACGAGCGGAGCGCCGAGTGGCTAAAGCACAGCAGGTTGGCACAGTAGGGGGCACAGGTGGTGCATCAGCCAGTCATCTCACTCATCTTAGTCAGTCGACCCGTGGCACTTGGGTCTGCCCCGTGACCTCCTGCCAGCGGGCATTCGACACTTCACGTGGCCTTAAGGTGCACATGGTCTGGCACAAGCATCATGGTGACATCACCGCCACTTAGTGGCGAATGGCAGTTGTTGTTGTTGTGCGTGTGACTGCTGCTTAAGTTGGCATTGGATGGTGTGACGCAGACAGAGCCGTAGAGAGACACAGGGTAATGCAGATAAATATACAGGGACACGGAGAAACACAGGGAAAATCAGAGAAACATAGATACTGACTGAGAAGCACAGAGAAGCACAGAGACACGTGGAGAGACAAAGGGAGAGATAGACACAGAAACACACTGACATAAGGACTAACATGGAGAAAAATGGTGAGGCGCATGATTGTTGGTGGACGCCCGAATTTGTGTGGACGTGTTGTGACTGCGTTGAGTCGAGCCCGGCCAGTGGAAGGTTTTAACGTGGCGATGTGGCAATGTTGTTCTTTTCCAGAATCGCTCCATGTGAGGCGAGCGATTGGTCGCACTTGACTGATGCGTAATTGCTGAGGCTTGCGTAGAGATCCACACGGCTCGTCTCTGGAATTCCATCCAGTCTCCCCTGCCCCAGCTACTTATAACCTTTCCCAATTCCAGAAACGTCATAATTCTGAACATAATTATTAGCATTCACATTTATCCATCGGTGCCGTTTGATGCTGGCCACTTGGTGTTTTGGACAGTTGGGCCTTGCACTCGGCAACCGCTGTATGTAAAATAGCAGGAGACTAACCTGAAGGACAGTGTCTCTCAGTCGCAGCTACAGCCACTGGTTGTAAAATAGCAGCAGACTAACGTGAGGGACGGTGTCTCTCAGTCGCAGCTACAGCCACTGGTTGTAAAATAACAGCAGACTAACGTGATGGACAGTGTCTCTCAGTCGCAGCTACAACCACTGGGTGTAAAATACCAGGAGACTAACGTGATGGACGGTGTCTCCCCGTGGCAGCTACAACCACTGGGTGTAAAATACCAGGAGACTAACGTGACGGACGGTGTCTCCCCGTCGCAGCTACAACCACTGGGTGTAAAATACCTGGAGACTAACGTGACGGACGGTGTCTCCCCGTCGCAGCTACAACCACTGGGTGTAAAATACCAGGAGACTAACGTGACGGACGGTGTCTCCCCGTCGCAGCTACAACCACTGGGTGTAAAATACCTGGAGACTAACGTGACGGACGGTGTCTCCCCGTCGCAGCTACAACCACTGGTTCGACGGGATGGCGCTGATGCACCGTTTCCGCGTGCACGACGGCGGCGTCTCCTACTCGAGCCGCTTCCTGCGCAGCGACTCGTACCTCCGCAACGAGGCCCGGCAGCGCATCGTGGTGTCCGAGTTCGGCACCATGGCCGTGCCTGACCCCTGCAAGACGCTCTTCGACAGATTTTTCACCTACTTCTCACCACCAGGTGATGTTCGCAGAATGTATGTACTGTATGTTGAACTTATTTCGCACCGTACATAGCCAACCGTGCTCATCGGCGGTGCGGGGGAAGGACAACAAACTAAACACAAAAAGTAGTTCTAAAGAAATTAGTTTGTCAATCTAGATGATTTAAAAGTGCATAGTTCCAGTGGCTTCCTAATGGGAAGGAAGAGCATTCCAGACGGCCGCAGAAGCGCATCTGAAAGTGCGCGATGCAGTGACCGTCTTTGTTCGATAGCTAGCCAAAAGCCGCTGCTGCGAGGATGACCACCGGAGTTTGTGTGATGATGGTTTATGCTCCTTGACGAGATCGGCAAAGTGTTGTGTTTCATTTTTGGCAAGCACTTTGTGTGTAATGAGTGCGACCTTATAATGAATTTGTTCAGCAACTGTAGGGGGCAAGGAAGGGGCACTCATTTACTGCGTTACCAATTGAGACTTCAAAACGCTTTCCTTAGGTCTGTCCATCCATCCATAATGAGGTTGTCGGGGGTGGGGGGCACTGTAGCTCTCATTCACACAGTTTATATGAATGAAAGAACACAGTATACAGCTGTGTTGCCATTTGGGACTTACACTATTGAATACTGGCCACATTGATACAAAGATAATACTGTATTCAACACATTTGTCAAGACCACCGTGGCCTTCAAAGGAAATGTATCTTATTTTTTGGGCAATGGTTCTTATTTAGGCAATTGCCTGAAACGTCACCTATAATGTTATTAATTTTAAGACCACGGTGTTATTGACGAATGTGTTGGATTCGAATTCGGGTTTGAGCCACCGATGATTAACTTGGGATCTAAAGTGTTACCGGTCGATGTTTTCAGATCGGCCACAAATGCCTGCAAAAAAAATCATTAAAATTTCAACACACTCATCAATAACACTGCTCTCAAGAGGATCGGGGAATGTTAAATGTAGTTGTGCATTCACTTTTGTTGCATTCCATCTCTAAGAATGCTAAATATTGGTTTGTACTGTCATGTGTGACGAAGGTTACTCTGTAGCAGCAAGCTTGGGAAAGTCCTACGCCCTAATGTGCAATATCCACTTCCGTCGCCTGCACTCTTAAATCGGGGAGTTTCACTGCTCACTCCGTGAGAATTCTGAATGGAATCTTTAGCAGCCAGCGGGGAAAATGCCGGAAAAAGTGAGGCCACTCGCCCTGTAGGTATGGCTAGTGGTTGGGTGGATGTGGCTATGTAAAAGTGGGTGGAGCGAACGGAGGGAGAGGCTGTCAGCCTCACCATGTGTCAGTTGAGCATTCCAGAAATTTAGCAGCTTCATGATTTACTGCTCGCAATTATACTGTAGTGGAAATAAAGTTTTACTGGCTGGCTGGCTGTTTGTCTGGCGAGAGGAAGGGAGGCAGTGCCGGATTATCCGAGTAGCAAAATATATGCTACGGGCCCCGCACTTTCAAGGGCCCGTGCTAAATGGTTTCATGTTATCAATTCCGGTTCAGTGATTCTGCACTTGATCTATTAATATAGTACTATACTGCCTTCAACTTTAATGAACAACTGGGTGTTTGTGGTTAGCGATTTGTCGTATTATCTGGCTGTATAGCAAGTAAAAAATGTATGTTTTAATATTTATGTTTTTTTTTATCTAGGGCCCCTTTATAACATAATATGCTACAGGCCCCGCACTAGCTTCATCCAGCACTGGAGGGAGGGTCACGTCCAAAGAACGTGTGGGCTGCTAGGGTGATTTTAAAAAAACAATCGTTCCTTTTTATCCTTAACTTTTTGTTCCGCTTGTGGGCCGGGCTGGGGGGTGGTTATGCAGCGCCCACCGACAACGACGTGGTGAACTACGTGGAGTACAAGAAGGACGTGTATGTGAGCTCGGAGACTACGCAAATGCGCAAGGTCGACCCTCGCACGCTCGACACCAAGGAGAAGGTGAGGCTCACGGCGACTCGTGCGGTACAGCGTAGATCAGTGTGGAAACGGCATAGCCCAGCGCGGGGTAGTACAATGCCTCATATCGGTGTGGCAAACACGAGCAGTGACGAATACATTTAAAATGTTGTTGCTTGTTTCAGCGTGTTCATTTAAATAGTAAACGCTGTTACATTTATTTGTTATGTATAGTCGCAAACGTTTTACACGATTCTCCATGTCTTTTACTGCCACGTACCGATTGGGAGATCGAGAGCATAACAGACGGACAATTGTGGTAGTTATATTTGTAGATATCTATATCTAGACTATCGCTACCATCGCTACTTCTGTCCCTGGTTCCTTCCACAACCTCAGTCAGATTAAAATTTTCACTCCCGCCACGGAATTCTGGGTCGCTCCGGCCCCTTTTCAACCCCTGGTCACATTGTAGCAAGCCTTGGGCCGTACAGCACTTCACGCACGCAGTACAGCTTGCACAGCAAAGGGATCACACCACGGATGGGGACGACGCGGCGCGGGACACGTCGTGACACGGTTGTGACACAAGGTGGGAGTTGAACTGTGGTCGCTCGTCCGCGTGCAGGTGGACTGGGGCAAGTTTGTGGCGGTCAACTCGGCCACGGCGCACCCCCATTATGACCCCGACGGCACGGCCTACAACATGGGCAACATCTTCGGCAAAGAAGGTCAGAGGTCACAAAGATCGGAGATCGCAAGGGGCAATGTCAGTCAGAGGTCGCGAGGGCCAAATAAGGTCAGAGGTCGCAAACGGTAAAGTACCTTCACGTGCCGAAAGGGCCATTGCTCGAAACGTCACCCACCATGTTCTCTGAAGGGCAATTGCCTATTATACAGTATATAATCTCCTTTTAAGGCCACAGCGCTGTTGACGAATGTGACTTGTTCTTTACGCTTCTGCACCACTGCCAACACAACAGCATCACCAAATAATGTGTTATGCTGCAGTCTCCAACGCTTGTGAGCTACCCTGTCTCTCTGGCCTCTCTTTATGCTATAAGGAAGGGCCATTGCCCGAAACGTCACCTATTATATATTATGGACGAATGTGCTGAGTTTCGGGTGATAAAAAAAACCGACTGGTATAAGTGTGCTACGGAGGGGTTGGGTTAGTGATAGGGGTAGTGATAAGAGTAGTTATAGGGGTATTTATAGGGGTTGGAGCAGTGATAGGGGTGGAGGTAGTGATAGTAGTGATAGGGATTGCAGTAGGTCTGGTTGTTTTTTGTATTGTTTGTTGGAATTTTCTGACCCACTCCTACTGGACACCTGTGGAAAAGAGCTTCATAGCTCATCGGATTCCTCCAGTATGAATAAATATTCTGATTCTGGCTGTAGCTGAAGAGCGGGGGCAGGGAGTAGCAGTCGCAGGATGGGCTCGGGAGAGAAGAGATGGCTTTTAAACCTACGGTGCAAAATAAGTTTCACATACATACACGCGTGATCCATCCACTGCTGGATTGATAAAGGCCTTCCAAGCCACCGCCACCCTGTCGATATGATTGCTGCGCTACGTCTGTGCCACCCAGGGACGTATTACGCCATCATCCGCGTGCCGGTGCAAAAGGACTCGGACGGTGACACACTCGAGGGCGCCACGATCGTCACACGCTTCCCGGCCGCGGATTCACGATTTCCATCGTATTACCATAGCTTTGGTAATATTACCGCAGCCTCGCTAAACCCACACTCGTGATCGAACCAAATGTGCGCTGATTAACGTTCTGCTAACCACACGGGGCCACGTTGTCCTGGCAAGAGCGCGGCAGTGCAACGTAATTAATGTATCCATTGTTGTACTGTACTATGCTACCATGTATTGTGAGAACCTCGCCTTCACCAACCCACACTGGAAAGTGCGGTGAAGTATGGTAAAAAAAAAACCCCACGACTCTCACGGTGTAAGTGTCATCATATCATGCTCATTTACAACATCGTCATTGTCATTATCCCATTGCAGTCTAATTATACACTAATATACTGCATTATGGGTTGGAGCGATGTCGCAGACGGCTTGCGCCACTGCACTATGAACCCGGCGACCCGAGTTCGGTTCCCAGCCACGGGCAGCGTTGGCGGCGGTTGACATTTGAAGCGGTCCCTGGGTGACCCCGCCACTTTCGCCAGGCCACACCGACCAATGCGGTGAAGTAGTCCGTTGTCTTCCCCTCTTTCCCCCGCATCTCCGATCAGCACGGTTGGCTACGTACGGTGCAAAAGAAGTTCAACATGCATACGTATGCACGGTCACATAACCCCCCAAGACTCACCCGGTGCGGGCAGACATCAATCCGGCAACTGGAAGGACGCGGGCCTCTGGCCGAGCGGTGCCGCCAGCCAGACACTTTGCGGGGCTCCCCCTCTACCTTTCCCTCTCCCCCTCTACCTTTCCCTCTCCCCCTCTACCTTTCCCTCTCCCCCTCTACCTTTCCCTCTCCCCCTCTACCTTTCCCTCTCCCCCTCTACCTTTCCCTCTCCCCCTCTACCTTTCCCTCTCCCCCTCTACCTTTCCCTCTCCCCCTCTACCTTTCCCTCTCCCCCTCTACCTTTCCCTCTCCCCCTCTACCTTTCCCTCTCCCCCTCTACCTTTCCCTCTCCCCCTCTACCTTTCCCTCTCCCCCTCTACCTTTCCCTCTCCCCCTCTACCTTTCCCTCTCCCCCTCTACCTTTCCCTCTCCCCCTCTACCTTTCCCTCTCCCCCTCTACCTTTCCCTCTCCCCCTCTACCTTTCCCTCTCCCCCTCATCTTCGTCCAGCGATGACGGAGAACTACGTGGTGTTCCTGGAGCAGCCGCTGTGCATGGACGTCCTACAGCTGCTCACGGCGCGCCTCCGTGGCCGGGCCTACTCGCACTGCATGGTCTGGAAGCCGCAGCGCGGGAGCATCATGCGCGTGGCCAACAAGCACACGGGCGAGGTGCAACGAGCCTCCCCTCCACGCCGCGCGGCCCTCCGCGAAGCACTCGCGCGGTTTGCCGCAACGGATGAACAATGTCGTCTTCTTCGTATTGTTTTTTATTCTTCCTCTTCTTCATGTCCAGCCCTTTTACGGAGGCCGCTGGGTTCGTGAACTTCCAGCGGCAGCAGCAGCAGCAGTCCCCGTGTGTTGGTGATCATCGTCATATCCCTGATGTTTCCGTGTTACTTTGCTGATCATTCCTCTTCATTCCAGTGTCTCCTTCTCTCCATCGGTCCATTTTTTTGGGCATCCTCTTCCTCTGTTGCTCTCTACTCACGTCGCCATTGGTTTTGCCGGATTCCTGCTTGGTTATTCTGATGTGACCATACCCACAGAAGTCCGTAATCCTCAGTTACTTATGTTGTTCATTGCATCTTCAAGCTCTTCACATCTCCATGTATAGATAGATGATGAGTGGCCTGCAATTCCAACTCCCTCCCTCTTTCGCCTAGTCCAGAAACACACTCTTGCACTTTATCTTCTTTTCAGAGTGGGAAATCTGTCATTTTATTATTATTGCCCAGGAAACCCTCTTTGAGTCTCAGAATACATTTTTCGGAATGTCTGGGCATTCGGATGATTGGCTAGTTTCTTTATAACGACTGCTTTTGCATGTAGAGTTTTCCAGGAAATATGGATTGACCATGGATGATAATAATGATGATGGCATGAGTGTATATTACAAAGAGTTCATATTTGGGATTGTCAACTGATATGAAATGCGTTTTCTCAGTGTTGATATTCCATTTGGCAGTGGGCCAATTATGTCTGATTAAACCTCTTGTGATGAATTATGTACGAGTATGTACAGCAGCATGTGTGTACGTGTGTGTTTGTGGGAGCGGTAGTGTAGCGGTTAGCGCGCTGCGCTATGAACCTGGCGACCCGAGTTCGGTTCCCGCTCACGGTCAACACCAGTGACGATTATCTGAACCGGTCCTGGGCCTCCCCTAGGTCGACTCAGCCTCGAATGAGTACCTGGTGCGATGTGTAAACATTGCCACTGGGGAGATAAAGGCGGTCGGGCGTGGTGCTGGCCACCCACCCTCTCGTGTACCGTGCCGGCCTTCATAGGTGCTCGCTAACAGCACTTGCCCCAAAAATCTGTTATTGCGATAAATGTAATCTTTGTCTCTATGCACGAGTGTTTCATCATTGTCATGAGCGACCGAGGGAACGAACAACTTATCCCTGCCACCTCTTCACCGTGTGTCGCTCCCTCTGACCAGATCCTGCCGGTGGCCTACCACATGAAGGCCATGATGTCCTTCCACCACATCAACGCTTACGAGGATGACGGTCACATCGTCAACGACCTCTGCTGTGTCGACCACTACTGCACAGCGGACGAAGACTCCCTGATGCTGAAGAACTTGCGTAGCTCCGGGGACGCCCTTGACCAGGTTGCGTCTGCGTTGAATCAGTCGGCAGTGTTAACGCTTTCCAACTGAGGTTGAAAGTGTGCGTTAGCTCTGCCCATCTATCCGTAATTGTGGGGGTCATGCCACATTGATCAGAGGGTTGCCCAAAACTTGAATACAAAAACCCAGTGGAAAATGGACTATTTGCAAGTTTGTAAACACATTTTCCTCCATCTGCTTCAATGCCGCGTGTGCTTTTGTGTCGCACCGCGTGTTGTCCGCCACGTTGCCCAACGTATTTCTCCAAGTGCTGGGAGCTTCTTCGCGAACTGATTAATTCAGCTCCCAGCACATCGGAGCAAACCGTCGCAAATCGTGTCAAACGACAGACACGTGGTAACAACCCCGACCAACGCGTGCCGGAGAGCTGCCCCTCGGTTTGTTGCAAACGCCCCGTATAAATCGTTGCGTCTGAACGTCGTGATTTCCGCCCTCAGCTCTACAATCGGCGGCCCATGACGTACCCACGTCGGTTCGTGATGCCCCTGTCCGTGGGCCCCGATTCCCCACGTGGCACAAACCTCTGCTCCTTGCCGTACACCACGGCCTCAGCCACCCTCCGCGACGACGGCAAGGTGGGTGGCCTCCTCGTCTTCCGCCGCGGTCTTCTGCGTGCTGTCTCGACCCCCTCCGTGACCCTCTCCGATCCTCCATGACCCTTCTCTCACCTCGCCCGGCGTGGACGATGCGTTGTTCCCTCGCGCACAAACGGAGACTCCGAGGGCACCTCGCGGACCGGGTGTGGTGAACAGCTTCAATATGGTGGAACGTCCGGTGGACAGCTTTGGGAAGTCCCTGCTGTTACTCATCCCTCAGAAGCACTTCTCAGATTCACTGTGCGCATCTCTGAAAGCTCTGACCTTCCGTGATCCACCTACATCCTGTCTGACCCTACCTGACCTCCCATGACCCTGCCCGACCCTACCAGAGCCTCCTCGGTCTTTCGTGCCTCTCCCTGACCCTCCGCTGTCCATCTTTTGACCCATCAACTTGTCCCCTCGGACCTCTACCGTTTCCCACCCTTGTTCTCCTTCATGCTTTCTTGACTTTAACCCACAGGGGTGGTGGGGGGGGGGTGGGTTGATAGGAATCGTTGTCCTCGTTGTGTTGTGGACCTTAGCACGCGCGGTCGCACGTTGCGTCCGAGCGGCCGTAGGTGTGGCTGGAGCCCGAGCCGCTGCACGGCGACGACGTGGAGGAGTACGGAGGCCTCGAGTTCCCCAGGATCCACTACGAGCGCTTCAACGCGCGGCCGTACCGCTACTTCTACTCGTGCGGGTTCCAGCACGTGATTCCGAACAGCCTCATCAAGGTGGACGTGACCACCAAGGAGACGAAGGTGCGACGGCGCAGCGGTGGGGTTCCCCGCTCGTCTCAAAAAATCTTGTCCTCTTTCGCGCGCGTACATCCTCCATCGGAAACGTCCCACCGCATCGTCATCATCGTCGTCATCATCATCGTCGTCATCACCATCCTCTCGGTTGTCATGATTACCACCGTCATTGATGCCGCCACGCACCATCATCATGATCAGCCATGGTGTATCCACTGCTAACTACCCGTCTCTCGACATCACACTGGGGCAAGCTGTTGAATCACTGCACGCTGCAGGTGTGCACCAGCCCCACGCAACTGGAATTTACCCTCGTCATCATCATCAGCATCATCAGGCACAATCTATCCACTGCTGGATAAAGGCCATCTCAAGCCGTCGCCATCTCTATTTGTCCTGCTGCGCAACAATTCTTCGAGCAACTGCACACGGGCTGATTTAATCACTCGATCTCCGTCATGGATGTCCTCTGTGGCAAGTTCCATCCCTTGGCTGCCACTCCATTGCTTGGCTGGCACACACTTGGTTGCCCACGCCTCCGATTCGCAGTTGGCTTCGTATGGTGCGAAAGAAATTCAACATACAGCACGTACACCATCGTTCGTCTCGACGGGTGGGGGAACTTCGTGTGTTTCTTTGCACACATGCCTGCGTGCATGTGTGCGTGTGCACATGGCCTGGCACAAGCGTCGTGGTGACGTCACCGCCACTTAGTGGCGAATGGCGGTTGTTGTTGTGTGTGAGCACAGCTATAGTTGAGCGTGTGCACGCCGTTGTGTGTGTGCTTACATTGGCACAGTAGAGGGTAGGGCACAGCTGGTGCATCTGCCAGTCATCACACTCAGTCGAGCCATGGCACCCGGGTCTGTCCCATGACCTCTTGTCAGCGAGCCTTCCACACCGAGCGGCCTCAAAGTATAGCTGGCCTGGCACAGGCGCCGTGGTGACGTGTGGCGAATGGCGGGTGTTGTTGTTGTTGTTACATATATGTACGTTTGCATGTGCACGCGCGTGTGCGTTTGTACGTCTTTGTGTTGGCGCGTGCGCGTATGCCTGTGCGCTTGCAGCATTGGCAAGTGGACGGCTATTACCCGTCGGAGCCCGTGTTCGTACCGAGTCCCGGAGCCGAAGGAGAGGACGAAGGGGTGGTGTTGTCTGTCGTCATTTCGCCGGACAAGGTGTGCTCCGGTTCATCCGAGGACGACCTCCAGTAGAGGCGGCCGGGCGGCGCCAGGGGACCGATGGCACGGCAGGGACGCCGCGCAGGCCCCTTGCCGAGACCCTGGGTTCGAGTCCACGTTTCAGACGCTCGCCCACGACTCGAATGGGCTCTCAATTTTTGCTGTGCGAGTTGATGAGATTTCCTTAGTCACGAGAGACTGAACAGAGAAACCGTCATGCTCAATTTGGCTTCATACGGCAAATTGCAGTTCTGGCGATTTCATATTTTTTATTTGCTTGATATGTGATCAACAGTCGCGTTGTGAAACAAAGAGGTTCAGATGTCACTGGCCTGTAGCCAGGAATCGAACTCAGCTGGATTCAGAGCCCTCCACCACTCCTGATGATATAGCATCCCACCCTGACCGTTACCATGACCCCACCACCCTGACCTGACCCCACCTCCCTGACCTGACCCCACCTCCCTGCCGTCACTGACCGTGTGCAGGAGAAGCCGTCCTTCCTGCTGGTTCTGGACGCTTCCTCGTTCGTGGAACTCGGCCGAGCCGTGGTGCCCAGAGACATCCCATACGGCTTCCATGGCATCTTCGCTCCCAACGTCGTCTAATAACGACGACCACGGCGGTGGTGGCGATGGTAGTGGGGAGCGGTAGCATAGCGGTTAGCGTGCTGCACTACGAACCCGACGACCTTCGATTTCCGCTCCAGTTAGATTTCTGCTTGCTAGTAACACCTGCCCCAACAGTCTGTTAAGGCTATACAGGGGATCTTTGTCTTTGATGTGATTGAGGATGATGGTTGTGGTGGTTACAGCTGTGGTCATCATGATGCGAATGTAGATGTTGATTTTATACAGATGTCATTGGGGTAGGTGGTGGCGATGGTTGTGTTAGTGGTGATGGTAATCATGATGATGGTAAAATTTTGATTTAAAGCTTTCGTGACTGCAGGGATTCATATTCTTGGTTCTTTTGGTAAAGTCACGTAGAAGGGAAACAATAAAATAATAAAAATATATTTTATTGTTTAAAATAATAAAAATATATTTTATTGTTTTATATTTTTATTATTTTATTGTTTCCCTTCTATGTGACTTTACCGAAAGAACCAATATGATGGTAATAATGATTATAATTTGTATTATGGTGGCGATGTGATAAGTGATAATCATGGTTGATTAATTTCTCCACGCCTCCGATTACCAGTCGACTACGTATGGTGTGAAATAAGTTTAACATACATATATACATAATAAAAGATTTGTATTTAGGAACGTGCATGAAAACGTTGAAGTAGAATGCTTATGTCTAATGCTTGAAGGTAAATGTATTACAATCCGGGTAGGTCTTCATCCAGCAGTGGATTAATCATGGCTAATGATAAGAAAAACGAAGTGGAAAAAGGCCCGGTCCTGCTGTGCACGCGCGTCGCTCGCAAATCTCTTGCTAAAAACCACAATTGCGACTTCACTCCCTCCAGGTCGACTTCTCACTTGCCATCCGGTTCCTATGTACACATTTATTACAATTTTTTGTTTCGATTTTTGTCTCGTCTTCTGAAATGATATTACATCTAGAAATGGATCACGCACTTATTTTTTTTATGAAAACGTGTCCCTGTCTATTCTATGCATAGTAAAAATAAAATATATATAAACTCGTATTGATTTTCGTATGCCTTCAAAATGCTCCAGACACGGGTTAGAGTGTAAGTGGTGTGATTGTGCAAAGACGTTCAGTTACGGAAGTCTGTTCATTGATAAGTTTAATTCTGTTATGGAGTGCATTTTCTGAACACGTACTCCGTTTTTTTCACCACATCGGAGAACCTAATAATTATTCACGTTATAGTGTCATGAATTCTAAAGATATTGATGCAATATTATTTAATCGTGCATTTTTGTCCATAAAATAAGCTTAATTATGCTCGGTAAGCTTGTTCCCGGCATATTAAACTGCATCCATGATGGTATTACCTAAAACTTAAGGACTTGAGTATGGAGTGTTGCTTGTGGGGGGGAAGGGAATGTAGTTGGTTATGAAGCATGAGCAATGGATCTGTGCATCTGTGGATAACTTGAGAAGCTTAAAGGAGATCATTGTATTTATGAAAGCCTGTGTTTTGATTCATAATTTATTTTTAGATCAGACCGTATAGGTGCAAAGTGTGTCGTACACCCTCCAGAGCCAATTAGTGACGTTGTCACGTGAACCACTTGAGCAATCCCACAACATTTCACAACTGGGTGCGTCTTTTCGCTGATAGTTGCAACCAGCATCATCAGGAAATTTGGCGATGCGATTCACAAGCTGCTGCCTATACGAAGGACCAGGACCGTTGCTTCCAGGCATCGTTTCTCCGCGGTAGCTCCCACCTGCTGCACATCCACAGCAGCGTTCAATCTGCACCGACTTTTAAGAGACTCTTTAAGGGCCCCACCAACTATTTTCGCCTTCCTTTCAACTAAGTGTGCTCGGCTCCATGCCAGTCACGGTCATTTGTGAAATACTGCGCCAATAATTGAATTATTTTTCAACTTCTATTTGAGGAAAGGCATTCTTGTATATCACATGAACAGAAATATAGAAAAGAAAAACTACATTGGTGAAAAATACATGAAGCTGTTTTGGGCAATGACTCAAAATGGTTTCATTAGTGCAGTACAGTACTGCATGGTGTATTCTTGCAATATTTAAGCGGCGTTAAGGAATAATCTGTTTTTTTGTGCTTGAGCGCCACTGCCAATGAAGTCTTTTAACTTTGCTTCAATTTAGAACTTACATTTAGGAAATTTGAATGGTTTGTGCACAGACATATACAGTCCTTATTGCTGTTTTACAAAATCAACTACTCAAACTTGGGTCAGGTATTTAATATATCTATTTGTAACAGCAAAGGCAATTGCAGAGCTGCTCCAGAACTTCAGCTCTGCCTCTATGCTCTGATAAGATTCCAGTGACCCCAGCTCCGATCCGTACAACATATAAAATTGGCAAACTCTGCTTCTGGAACCAGAGCCTGGCCATCCTGAGAACACGTCAGAGGGCATTTACATCGTGGCGATGGGGCAATGAAACCAGCCCATGTGCAGGAACTAGACCCAAGGGGTAGGCAACCTGTGGATCCGGAGCTGCATGCAGTGGCTCTTTAAGTACAGCAGTGCGGCTCTTTTTGTTATTTTGGTTACAGACCCCTGACCATGGAAGTCCAGTTCACCATGGGCAGAGGTCGGCATCCTGTGGCTCCGTCGCCGCATGCGGCTTCACCAAGGACTGTTTCGTGACGTTTATTAAGGACCACCATCTCGTATTCACTTGCATTGCGGCTATTGAAATATTGAGTTTTTTTTACCGAAATAGAAAGAAATGGATCTTCTTGTTATTTTGATTGCTGACCCATGAGCTAGATGGATTGCTCCTTCGCGATACTCAAAGGTGATGACGGCATTGGAAAGATAGCTGATGCTTACATTTTCTAAATCTATCTACACGTTTGTGAATATGTAATTTCACATTTTTTTATTGTCGTATTGATGCGGTAGTAAACAAGGCTAAACATGAACTTCACAGGGAAAAGAAAACTGACCTCTGAATGAAACCCACCACAAGAAATTATACATTTATAGCAACGATACTGCTTCAGACTGCGAAATAAAAACAAGTTATGAAAACTATAAATGCGGAGATAACGTTACACTTTCCAACAAGTGTTTGTCGTTACAAATATTTAATGAGCAGTCTTGAAGCCGACGGGTAGCTCTCAGGGCAAAACGCGTGCGAGAATTTGTCTCTAATAGCAACACACATTTAATTATATTATGGGTTGGTTCATGTTGTGGACCCACAGAGCTCTCATCTTGCGCTGGAAAGTGTAAAAAAAGCTTGGATCTTGTCCATCCTGCTGACGACGTCTCATTCACCGGGAGAATTCCCACGCGGAATTTTCCTCATTCTCAGGAGGGATGTGCCGTGAGCTCCAGGGACGAGATGAGGCGGGTGGTGTCGCTGCCAGACCAGAGTGCAGAGTGCACGGAGAGAGTGTGAAACTTACAAAACGGAAACATTCTAAGTTAACTCTCATTTATCCCATAAAACAAGGGTAATGGACAGCACATGCACATTAGACTAGAAAGATGTGTTGGTTACCTGTGTAGAAAGGTGGTGAAGATGTAGAATGTGGCACATCATACAGATTTGTTTTTCTCTTCTTATTAAATAAATCTATTAAGGTAATCTATTACCTTTCCAACATGTCATATGGGCACTGGGCCACCGCAGCCACTAATGAAAGCAGCGTGAATGGAAAGACATTCTTTCACATGCACGCTTAATTCACAAGCCAGACAATCCACCCATGGATAATCGAGTTAAAGCGGAACTTGTAACGATTTGTGTGCCTAGCAGCCAGCAGGGGCGACAATAACTACGAGCGGTTGTGTATAACTATTAATCGTCAGCCATGATCCAGTCACTGATGGATGAAGGCTTCCCCAAGCCATCACCTTCACTCAGTCAACAATCCATCGGGCACCTGCAGCAGTGGATATCCAAAAGGGCTGTAGATGTACTTGTAGTGTGCTTAATTGGTCGCATCTTAGGACTTTATGCCTGCCATGGCTATCAAGTTCAAAGCTGTCGCACCATCTGCATCAAGGGCACTCACCACAGGCGATCTCGGACCCGGTTTCTCTGCTCTCTTAGAAGCTTCAGCAGGGGATCGTCTGGGAAATCCACTCCATCTGAATCTTAAGACGAGGAATCACGGACACGTGCGTACAAAACAAAAACGATTTAACTCGACAGGCAGGTTTTCGCACGCAATATTACTATTCATGACTAATTGTTGGGTTAGGCCACGTGATGATCGTGTAACCCTCCACCACCCTGCACAGCCAACCAAATTAAATTGCAAAACACGACAAAATAGGACGTTTAAATACCTTTGGCTGGTCACACATTAGTCGACACTAAGTCTGGCGACGTGATCGACACTATCAACCGCGTTACTCTGGGCATGGCTTGTATGGTGGGTGGGGGGGTGTTTCATACCTTCAGGAGGCAGAATATCGGGATGGCCGCCATTTTCAAAGAGGCTCGTCTAATCGACCACAACGAAAGTAGTCGATTACAACTTTTAGCCAAATAAACACAACCTGATTGACCAACTGTTCCAGGCTCAACTGTCGATGCACGAGAGAGGGGCGTCGTCTCCGTAGCGATGCAGTGACCACATCGAGTGAGGACGCTCACCCTCTGCCTGCTCTAGGAGACACAGCACGGCACTCGGGAGTCCCGGTTGGGCCGACGAAGGAGAATGAGGACGCGGCGCACGTCCCTTGTCTCGACCAGGCCGGGGCTGGAATGAGAAGCGATGTCACAAATGTAATCCTGCGACTTCTCAAAGTATATGTTACCAGTAGGAATGCAACGATTCACATCCTTCCAAGCTTCAGTCATAACGATGCATTTAAAACGTAGGCTCCCATAACAATACAAATAATTCATAACAATAATAATTTCAACTTGTAACGCGCCGCAGTGCTCATTCGCTCTCGTAGAGAAAGGGCGACTCAAGAGGCGCAAGGAACTACAGCCGAAGGCAGCCACACGGGTGAGCCGGCACCAACAATTGCCCAAGCTCTCTGGTCCTCTATATACTGAGCTGTTATCAGCCAATTAATGAGTGTTTATGCATGTGGGCGGAAACCAGAGCATCCGTAGCAAACCCAAGCATGCAAAGGTGGACACACTCTATCCCATATAGATGGAACAGGTGGAGTCTTTATTTTTTCTGTACTGCCGTACCCTGGCGATCCTCTGCCGACCCTCGCCTCCGCAGTCCCGGATTACAGACGTGCGTAAGCACCACCGCCCGGTTAAACTAGGATCTGTAATGACTGAGAGAACGACGAACTCACCACGTTTGTCTCGGATCGTTTCAACTCGGCGGGCATGAAGAGTCGTTCGTTGAGGACCTACAATCATCACGATTATCATCACACTGAGTTTACGGATATCTTTAATACGGAGAATTAGCATGTGCCTGACGAACATATGACCAGACTTATATGTGCCAGAATACAAAAAAATCTGGGGTATATATGGTGATCCGTGTATAGATACTACATTGATTTCTAATGACCCCGGCCTTGCGCGGTAGGCGATGGGTTACAACAGACGTCTGTGTGTTGGATTAGCAAGGTGGAGAAATTGTGTGCCCCATACCCAAACCCAACATTCGCCTGACGTAACTCTTCTGGGTGTTCTCTCGTGGGGTCACACCACAGACCGCGTGTGTACACGCGTAAAAAACCGTGAGGTGCCGATGACCTCGGCTTGCGCACCGGTGAATGTTGTGAGCAAATAACCGCGGCTACGCTAGAGTATGTCAGGGGATGGTTAGAAGGTTCAACAAGTGCGTGGAAATTGGTGGAAGACATGCAGAGGCTTTGAAATCAACATTTTTGTCATCTATTTCTCCCGATATTAGTGGGATATCTAGAAGTGGATCTCTCTTCATGATGCCGATATAACTTTGCACAGTAAATTTATACGTAAAAATAATTTTATCTCCCTCACACTCTCTTGTGTGCCTTCGTACACAAAATAACCGACGGAACACACCGATGTTAGTCAGTCGCTGTTAATGGAGTCTATTTGGGCAAAGTTCTCACCAAACCAACAGCGCTGCTCAATGGAGACTCGTCGCTCCGTGCCGAACCGTGCTCCGCTCCGCCTCCTCCATCCCTCCGCTTTTTCCCATTTCTGGCTCTCTCGGGTCGCACCTCCTTCCTCTCGACGGCACCGGCGTCCTCCCCGCTACGTCTCCTCTCGTGCCGTTCCCTGCCGGGCTTCGCCACCCTCTCAGGGCTACCCCGGTCGGCGCTCGACGCCGGAGGGGACGACGACTTCTCTGCGGGCTCGGTGCGACTTCCGCTCTGCCGATCGCTCGTCACGTCGAGACCCGAGGCGCCGTGACGACGGTCGCCATCGCCGCCCCGACGTTCCCGATCGTCGTCACCGTGCGCCACTTTGGTTTTGGAAGGGCGGCTCGCGACCTTGGAAGTCTTCGGCCGGCCCGTTGTTCCACTCCGCTCGGTCGCTCTGGCCAAACTCCGAGGTCCGATCTCGCCGCGACTCTCCTCCTTTCCCCCGTTGCTTCCGTGAGGAGCGACTCTGACCGGGCGCAAGGGGCGATGCTCGTCCTGGATCTCATGATGGACGAGGGGGTGGTGGGGGCAGGGCAGCACGTCGCACGACAGGTGGAGGTGTGGCGTGATGACCATGGAGTCTTTGGGGCCTCCTAGTGTGTCTGATGTGGGGGCTAGCCTGATGTGGGGGCTGGCGATGGGCACCTCGAAGCGGGCAGGGGCGTTTGGTGGGTGCCTCCCCGTATCTTCCGCGGTAAAAAGAACCCCCGCGTTAGCCTGCGAAACACCCAAGCAAAGGAGAATGAACACGTTTGTTAAATAACGTGTATGAAACTTCATGGTGATACTGCACGCCGGAGACCCAGTACTTTGGAGGACATGGCCTTTGGAACTCCTTCCCAGGCAACTCCTAACCTGGTCTCCTCTTTCTCTGCTTTCAAGTCTTTCCTTAAACTCTTCCACCCCATGCCTCGAGTCGCCTTTAATTGCTTCCTTTCTCTCCTTCCATTGATTGCTCCCTCGTCTCTTCTTTTGTATTTGTGCACTCAGGGAGTTTTTTTTTTACGTTATGGGTGCATTAAATATTTAAGTAGTTGTTTCGTCTTTCCATTGTGACACAGTCAACACGTCCATCAAGCTCTCATTTTACAACTACCACCGCTACCTGGTTTGAGGTCATCCACTTGGTTGTCAGCCTCTGGGTGCGACTGCAATACCTGGCTTTGCGGTCTGCCCCTCTTTCCATCCCACACGAACCCCACCACATCGTTACCTTTCCTACAAACATGTACAACGCTTTGCTACCTCGTTCTATTCTGGAACTTTCGAGTTGCTAACCCTATCCTGCTATGCCTGCCAAACTGGGCACCTCACATAGCAATGACTAGCAACACAAGGCAGAGACCAGTGGCATTGTGTGGTTCGCATGGGGCCTGGTGCGCAAAGAATGAAATGAGGCCCCCTCTGGCCCATGGGAAATGGTATGTACGTATGCATGTTGAACTTCTTTCGCACCGTACGTCGCTAACCGTGTGAATCGGAGGTGCGGGGGAAGGACAAACTAAACACGAAAAGGTGCACTGCCTGCAGACTCAATCGCTACTCCACTGGCAGAGACACAGACACACGCTCACCTGTGGCAGCTGACAGGGAGTGGGTCGTGGGAGTTCCCGATCGCTGGAGGGCACCGCTCGCGCGTCGTGCGCTGCTTTCGTCCCAAACTCCCTCGCCTCTTCCATCCTGCGCCGCAGACGCCACTGGTACAAGATGTCATCCGCTGGGGTCGTTCCTCTGCCTGCGCCAGGCGGGAGTGGCGTCGTCAGCGTGGGTTGCGACGAGACGAGGGGGGTCGTGCTCCCTGTGGGACCCGATCGCATGTGATTACACACTGAAGATATCACAGTGGACCCCACAATGTGACCTCACAGCGTGACCCCACACTGAGACCTCACAGTGTAACCCCACAATGTGGCCCCACAACGCGACCCCCACAGCGTGACCCCCACAGTGCGACCCCACCACCGGTACCAGGCAGGAGGAGCTCGAGGTGGCCCCACGGAGGACGTGCTGGCTCGGTGAAGTTTCGTTCCGACGAGCGCGCGGAACCAAGCCCCGCCGAGCTGACGGCGCCCGCACGGCTGCTCAGCGTGCTCTCACTGGCGGAAGGATCGAGAGAGACGGAGCAAGCAGGAGAGAGGGAGTGAGTGAGAGAGGGAGTTAGTGATAAATGCACGCAGAAAGTGAAAGAGTGACACAAGGAGAGAGTGGGAAAGTGAACAAGAGAGAGTAAGCGATACATGGCTGAGTGCGCAATGTTGTAAGAGGAAGCGAGTGATGGGGTGAGAAAGCAACTAAGGGAGTAAGAGAGGGAGGGAGCGATAGATTAAGTGAGGGAGGGTCACAAAAAGTGAAGAGTAAGTGAAGAGTAAGAGACCGAGGAAGCGAGAGACTGAGAGACACTTGAGAACCCGGTTTAATCACAGACAGCTGCCTGGATTCTAACGCAGGATCTCAGCGGTGCCAGCTTGACCTTGACCTTCAAGCCACCTGGCCACTTCGTATTGTTGTTATTTTTAACCAGCTGCTTATCAGCTGGGTCGAACCCTGCCACAGTTTACCTTCTCTCCAGGAGCTGGCTCGCTCGCTCCTGAAGACTGCGAGTGTCTGCATCCATGAGGCCGTTCACGGACAAATCCCCATCACCCTCCTTTGGCCCCGAGAGACAAGAATAGAACATGCCACAACAGCAGCAGGAGCAACAATTTCAACACATTTATTATCATCTCAATGCCATCGCATCTCGAGACGCTTTACAACGTCATGAAAAAATGTAGGTTGGCATATAAAGGAGGAGGTGAGGAGAGTCAGGGGAACACGCGAGGGGACAGCGACACTGCGACACAGCCGAGGACGTAGCGACCGGGGTCCAGCACCAAGAACGATGACGACGAGTCCCAGGCACAGCTGGGACAGCACACAAAAATCACAGGCATACATATACAGACAAATATTCCCCCTCGTATAGCAGTAACAAACTGTTAGGGCAAGTGCTTTTAGTGACCACCTATGAAAGCCGGCACGGTACACGAGGGGGTGGGGTGGCCAGCACCACTCCCGATCGCCTTTGTCTCCCAGTGATGATGTTTACACAACGCATCAGGTACTCATTTGAGGCTGAGTTGTCATATGTACATACAAACACACACAGAGAGATAAACACACAAGCACATCCATATACACATTCAGAAACACACCACATTAAGTTAACAGTCAGTAACCCGATGGCCGCAGGCTGGCGTTAATGAAATGGTATCATTTTGCATCTTTTTGAAAACTCGGGAAGATAAGAGGCACCTCTAACCATGCCGTTATTTGAGGGGATGGTCCATAACGGGTATATCATATCTCAAGACTTCCTTTAATGCGACACACAGCCGTGAAATCAATCCAGGGCTGGATGAAGGCTTCCACCCTCTTCACCAACCCACACTGACTGGTGTGGATTGGTGAAAGGGTGGGTGGCCTGACATCGGTTCAGAGATCATTCGCCACTGATGTTAGCGATGCCCGGGACTCAAACTCAGGTCACCGGGTTCATACTCCAGTGCGTACCAGTTTACGCGGCATTTGATATGATAGGAAAACAATCAACTGTCGGTGAGGGTTGGTATCACATAGAAATTATTAATCGATTAAAATAGATTCTTACTCTCACAATAGATTAATGTAATTATATGGATAAGAAATGAACATTTACGATTCATGCAAGTGAAACACAAATGAAAATATAATACCATGTCTGCATTTTTTTAAGTTATTTTGAACACATTCATCATGACCAGAGATCAAGAAACAAAATAACTCCTCACCGTGTCCGAATTGTTACATTGTCTCATTCCTTCTAACGAAGAGCAAGCAGGGCTGGGACCCGACTTGCCGGATGACCTTTGACCCAAGGACCTCTCGCTGGATGACCTCCGTGGTGACCTTAGCTGTGAACGACCTGCGAATATCGTAAATGGCACGGCAGACACGTAGTTCAAATTTAGAGAAAAAAAAAGGCTGGTCATTGTTGGTGCAAAAAAGGGGTGAGAGACCTTTTCAAATGCCGTTGGAAGGGCCATACATTAACACACGCCTCAGTCACTTCTGTCACCGCAAGAGGCCCTTGCGGTGAAATCATTGACTGAGCACGGGGGCAAAAATTGGAGCGATGTTTGTGGTGATGGATAAATATGGCTTGCGGGCTGTGTTCTGAAGTGAGCGGTCGACCCCAAGTGGTCATGGGCAGTCTGAGGTCCACAGGCCACGGGATCTCCACCCATGGTGTCAAGCATTATGTTATTTTTTAAAACCTCACCCCATTGAAATCATTTTTATAAATTTGACTGCAAAAAGATGTTTATGAAAAATGAACTTGTTTATGGTGGGTAGTGGTTATGGTAGTTGTTAATATATAAGTATGGGGTTAGTGGTGATGATGCGGATGATAAAAAATAAGATTATAATTTCAATAATGATTGCAATGATAATGACAATGGCCAATTAAATGGCAGTGCAGAAGCGTGTTTGTCACTTGTTGCAGATGTTGAGTTTGATCCCAGGTGGTGCCATGGTTAATACTGCAGGTGTTTTAACAACAAAAAAAATGTGCTGTCAGGATACAAATTTTCCTAATTAAAAAATGACTCTTAAATAAACTAATCGGGTAAAGCCATATCGCGACATCAGCCTCAACTGTAAAACTAGACTATACAGGTCTGAAGCCTAGTGTCTCGTGATATGACGTCATCATCACATGATTTAATATGATGACAAAGATGTCAGTACGGTCATAATGACAAATTATGGTCATAATAATGACCATGATGATGATCACGATAACCACAGGACAGATCACAAAGAAGATGATGATGATGATAACAATGATGCTGTCAATGGTGACAAAATTACGGTCGTAAAAAATTATCAGGATGATAAAGGTGACAAAACCATTCACATTACCGGAGTCGAGGTGATCAACCGCGCGTGCTGTGGCTTTGGTTGCCGGGTCCTGGAGCCACCAAAACGAGCCGCGCCCTGCACGCTCAGCCGCCTCGCGCTCCGCTCGGCTCGTGGGGCGGCCATGACGGAACCGCTCAACAAACCTGCACAACGGAGGAGACAACCCGGAGAGCTCTTAACCTTGCAGACACGTACCTAGGCCAGGGGTAGGGAACCTACTGACCGCAGATGTTAACTACCTCGCCTGGTATATAGGTCGTGGGTTCAATCCTAATCCTGACTCCTGTATATTTGGAGTTTGCATGTCTCTTTCCCCGTGGTCACGTGGGCTTTTCTCCGGGCCCTCTGGTCTTTCTCTCCACATTTAGAATCAGAATGCGTTTAGAGTATTTGGATACGTGATAAGCCACTTCCTTGAGCTATCATTTGTGGCCAGGACACTTCTGAAAAAGAGCTATATAGCTCAGTGGGCCTTATCTGGTAACATAAAAAGTTTCGTTTAGTAGTTTAAATATAACTCACGACCTAATGTCATAAGACCCACAGCTACACAAGGCATATTACTTTTAAATGGCTCACCAAAATAATATTTATCCATCACTGCAAGCATCTGGGCTGTACTAATCGGGTACTAGAGGGGAATATGAGTGGCCTGGCAACATTATTTAATATTAGCACGCTCAGTCACTTCCGTCACTGTGAGGATCTCTTTATACTCGGCTGGCATGCACATTATTTTTTTATTTTATTCGATAACCCAAAGGTGATAGTGATTGTTTGTGCTTGTGGAATTAACAAAAAAAGGACAAATGACACTTAAAAAACCTCATAACCAATACAAACAAAAATCTCTCAAATCTTACAAAGAATATTCTCAAATCGAGCCATGAGCCTCCATTTTGATAGTTCATAAAATCGCACGGAAATATATATGTACACGCCTAGCATAAGAACTCAGGGTGGTCGGTTATAACCCTCCCCCCCTTACTGGACAAAAAGAGCTCGATAGCTCATCTGATTCCTCCAGGATAAATAAAGATTCTGATTACGATTCTGGTTTGGCTGGATCAGTGCCCAACCACTGCCACAAAGAAATACGTTATCCGAAAGCTCAATGCGTGTTGAGGAGTCAGCGCCACCGTCATCAGGATCCGAACCTCGCAATGACAGGCTCTCTTGTGGGGGGCACAGGTTCCTGCCCTGCTTCCCTCTCCCCAGCCTCAGGCGTGCGAGCTGAGCTCTGCTCTGTTGATGGCCATGATTCGTCGAAGGGGTCTGAAGAGTCGGGGTCAGGCTGGGAGTTCGCCGTCCGAACCGCCACCTTGTGATGACGCAAAGCACAGGGAGTGTACAGTTACAGAGCCACTCCGCTGTCATTGTGACTAGTGCTGGAATAGGGCAATAATTAATGTATGATGAGGACTTATTGATGATGAAAGTGTACTTCTTGTTGCAATGCATTAAATGGCAGTAAAATACCATTTAAATGTAGTATCTGTTTGTGATCGCATCTCAGAACACTGTACAGATACAGATGGCATATTTATACCATAGAGGCAGTCACAGACAGAAGACAATGTAAAGTGTTGAGCCTGGAATGAAACAGGGACTGGGAGTTCCAAACTATTAAAGACAATAGGTTACTTTAATGGAGGGTATGTAGAAAGGAGAGTGAGACTGGGAGGGACAGGTAGATAGAGAGTTCATCCTGAAGATGGTGAGATCTTGAAATTGATTTGGGATTAGATTGGGAGCCAGTGGAGAGATTGGAGTATTGAGGAAATGTGGTCTCATTTGCTCGTGTGGTGGGTGAAGAATCTGGCAGTGGAATTTTTGGTACATCTGGAGATTGGTGATGCAGGATTGGGGAGATGAGGGATTTGGAAAGACTGTAGAGGAGAGAGTTGTGATAGTCGAGTCAGGATGTGATACACGCAGGGATGGGGGCCTCAGTGGCTGCTGAGTTCAGGAAGTGGCGAATGTTCCGCAAATAGAGGTGTGGAGTCCAACCCGAGTTGAGGTGTGGAGTCCAACCAAATGTGTTGAAAGAGAACAAGAGCTCTGGATCAGTGACAGCTCCAAGGTTTCTTGCACTCTTCATGAATATTGTATTGTACAGCGGTGCAATGCATTGCAGTGTGATGTATAATGCAATGGCCGTACTGCAGTACATTAGGCAATCATTTACCTGCGCCTCGACACGTTCGTTTTGCCGTTTGTCTTGGCGCGCACCGGGCTTCTGGGCTTGGGAACCACTGGCATTAAACCCAGCCTTCGGACTCAGAGACTGCAGCCGGACTGGACTTAGAGACTAGGTAGACAGGAAAAAGACCTTTATTTAAAAACATGTGAAAGCACATTGATAAGAGTTTTTGTTTTCAGGGAGACCTGGTTGACAAAGCAAATGCAAAACACACCAAATATACAGCAAAACAAAAAAAACTGAATTCACCACAAATATTACGAGTCTATAATTCAGCAATAAAAGGATTTAAAATCCAACTTAAAATTAAGCTTTAGATATGTTCAAATCATGTACAGGTTTAAAATAGCAGGTTGGTGTGAACCAGAGGTCACTTGAATGGTTCTCAGGGGTCACGCTGTGACAGCCGCCTCCGTGGTCCGTTCTTTAACACGATGGGAGGCACTGCTCTGAATGGAGTCTGCATCTCACAACCTTATGCAGATAGTCCAGTTTTGATACAAACATTTTTTTATCATCTCATGTAAACCCCTGGCTGATAAGTCTTAATGAATAGAATAGTAACTAATAAAAATATAAAACAATACAATTCTCAAGACGTTTCGACTGCAGCACAAGCAATCATCATCAGGTGTGAATACCACAGCAAATTTTCTTGATGTGGTTTTCACACCTGATGATTGCTTGTGTTGCAGTCGAAACGTCGTGAGAATTTTATTATTTTTATATTTTTATTATTTTATTGTTTCCCTTCAACGTGACTTTACCGAAAGAGCTAAGAATATGAATTACTGCAGTCACGAAAGCTTTAAATCAAAAGTATATAAACTATTTCCCTAAACTATCATGTATCTCAATAGACGAAGCCTAAAGCACAGTTGGGCTAAAATTTGCAGAAAAATAAATTATTTTCAAAAGTTCAAATGGCAAGGAATGATGCAAGAAATATAAAATGCTGAGGATCGTGGGAAAAGCAAGGGCATAGCAAGGGCAAAGCAAGGGCAAAGGATGTTGGAGGTCTCGAATGTCCGAGCTCACCGTGTGCCTGGCGCGCTGGGTTAGAGTCTTGCCAGGAGACGGGTGGTAGTGGCCCAGTGGTGAGCGGGGCCCAACAAATGGGCTTCCTTTGGTTGAGAACACTGGGTCACTGCACCAAAAAACAAACACCACCATCTACCAATAAAAATGCATCTGCCCGTGCTAACTTGTTACACATTATGTCTTACTTAACAATGATTTGTTCATATTCTTGGTTCTTTCGGTAAATTCACGTAGAAGGGAAACAATAAAATAAAACATTTATATTTTTATTATTTTATTGTTTCCCTTCTACGTGACTTTACCGAAAGAACAAAGAATATTAATCCCTGCAGTCACGAAAGCTTTCAAACAAAATGTTATGATTTGTTCATATATTTTTCAGATGTCACATATTTCCCATGTGACATAGTTGTTTGCTTCATTGATATACTTAATCGATATACTTTGAACATTGGGTGAAAGCTGAACTCACAATTAGAGCTCCATTCTAAAGAATGGAGATGACCTTCCGGTACCTCTATGAAAGTGGAGGTATGTGTCGTACTTTGTGCTCAATATACCTCTATGAAAGTGGGTTATTTGGTGATTCTGCGTTGGCAGTAGTGCACAAGCACTAAAATTAATAAAAACAAACTCAACAGGTCCGTCAATAACAATGGTCTTAAAAGAAAACATATAAAATGTGACGTTTCAGGCAACGGCCCTTCTTCATAGCACACCGAGGCCAGAGTGATTGAGTGAATAAGATACTTACTAAATATTTTTGTTTAATTTTGAAGACAACTGCGAAACGTCCTCTCCTGACTCCACCTCTCTGGCCTATTTTTGTGCTCGGCTGGAGGACCATTGCCCGAAACGTCGCCCCTTATACACGTTACCGTTTGAAACCACAGTGTTTAACCACTTATAAGTTGAGTTTTTTTATGTTATCTGTTCAAGTGAGATCATTAACATATTCCTACGAAAGTTAATGCAGCGGCAATTGCCACAAAACTTTCTATGAACTGGCGGCGGTAGAGCGGTGGCGCAGTGGTTAGCGTCAAGGCGCGCTATGTAACCGGCGACTTTTAAAAGAGTTCGCTTCCCCTGTCGCGGCTAAAACATCGGTGGCGAGTGAGAACAACTGAGAGAGCAGTCCCCCTGAAGCACAAACCCGCGTGGTTGAAGTATATTCAAACAAAACCCTGCGAAACCAACGCAACGAGCGCGAGGTAGGCCTCCGTCCAGCAGCGTTTGCCTTTGCAAAACCACGACGGATGATTGTGACCGACGATACCGTTAGCACGCACCTGTACTGAGCTGCAGCCATGCCCCGAGCGTTGTGTTCATGCGAACATTCAGTCGCGAGTGTGCTGAAGTGTGTTTGTGTGTGTAGAGTTCAGTCGATGTTGCGTGTGCGTGTTTGTGTTTCCCGCGCCACCTTCCGCTGCGACCACGCGATGCCAGGTCAGAGGGGAGGGAAAACCTCGCATAGCAACGCATCGCAGAGTTGCTATGGTTACCGGCGGTGAATAACAATAATAATGATTTAAATTCTTGGTTCTTTCGGTAAAGTCACGTAGAAGGGAAACAATAAAGTAATAAAAATATAAAACAATACAATTCTCACGACGTTACGTGACTTTACCGAAAGAACCAATAATGTGAATCACTGCAGTCACGAAAGCTTTAAATCAAAATAATAATGATATTATATTCTTGGTTCTTACGGTAAAGTCACGTTGAAGGGAAATAATAAATAATATTTGTTGTTTTAGTTTTTTTCCCTTCTACGTGACTTTACCGAAAGAACCAAAAATAATATTACAATGAAGAATAATATTGATGATTATTATGAATAATAATGAATGTACTTTTATTTCAGAATGTATTACCCTTTCTGGCAATAAAACATGAGTTGTGTTAAGATGTTCAAACACCAAATATAAACCTTTTTCAAGGAATCCTGTCTGCATGTACCATACAGTACTAGTGGTGAACATTCAAACAAAACTTTACTCTCATCCATAATACAGGGTTTTTGGGGTGATTTACTCGATATAACCTACATGTAAAAAAAAACACTCTAATCATATATGATGCATTGTCTTTGAAACGGATTGTGAAACTAGGCCCTAAAGATCAATCAGTAGGCCAATCAGTTTCAAAGACAATGCCATAAATGATCAAAGCCACGTGTTTGTTTGCATGTTCACCACAAGTACTGTGTGTGGTTAATGCAATAACTCGATTCCTTGCAAGAGGTATTCATTTGGTGTTTGAACATCTTAACAATTCCTGTTGTATTGCCAGAAAAGTTAAAATCTATTCTTATTTTTCATATTTTGATACTGGCATTACATTTGGGACTTTTATTTTGTTTTCGGATGCACGGATATGTAATGGAGGCGAATTGCCTACTTTTGTGTTTAGGTATGTTAAATTATCCACAATGATGGGAATTATTATTTTGTATTATTTCTTGGGATAAATAAGGACCCATATCTTACACAGAGGGGTCCTTGACTATAAACATCTGTCAGTTCACCAGCTATGGTTCACGCAAGCCTGACCATACCGATGTTATCCATAATAGAGGTGTTTGGGTTAGATAGCATGAATATTAATGTGTCGTTAAATACGCCACCACCCGACACAGCCAATTAATAAGGTTTGTTACATAAACAAAACAAGCCAATTCGTTACTGGTACAGCACACCGGTGTGTTGGAGAGTAAATCCACAACATTTGTAATTCGAGTACGGTGACGTTTTGCCAGTAATTACGACCAGCATCATCAGGCGTCAGCCAGAGTTGTGGATAAATCCTCCTGTTTCTGTCTTAAATTGAGGGATAAATTATGATGTCGTCACTTGTGATGACCTTTTGATCATCACTGATGAGACACCAATCGTCGAAAACGGTCCAGAGTTTTACTTGGGTAGAACCAATGCTGCATTCCCAGACGACAGTGTGGCTAAGGGAATGTGTAAACATAGTTTTAGTTTGTTTTTGTGTGGAGGGACGTATATTTGATAGGAGCCATATTGTTTGTTTATTTATTTATTGGTTCGAGGTTTAAATTCCGCCAGAACGTCCGCCGAGGAGATGGAGCGATGAAATCAATTCCTGTGTGGTCACGGGAATATTGACATCACAGGAGCGTGATCGGAGGTTGCGGCGGATTGGGTAGGTCTTAATTCAGCAGTGGATTGACCACGGCTGATGATGATGATGATGATGACGGTGAAAGAGTTTAGATCCCATATTTTTATGAATATTTTTGTAAGAGTATGAATACAGTATGTATTTTATACCCGACCTCAAAATTAATTAAAAAAACACTCATATAACCGAATTATTCGAAGTCCTCAGAGCTAACAAGCCTAGCAGGTTTAAGCCTGGCTCGTGCTTAGATTGGGGGGGGGCATCAATCAGAATATGTGTTTATGCTGGAGGAATCCGATGAGCTATAAAGCTCTTTTTCCATCGATCATCGTACGTTAAACGGGCGTGTTCTAGACCACTATATGTTGTAGGCAAGCTGAGGGCACATTTGACAAGAGGTGCGACTGTACATGTGCAATTGAACGAAATGTTTTACGAAGCGTACATTGCCATGAACGCCGAACCCTTTGGGAGGTAACAGCGACTTCCCAACTCCCGCCGGCTGTCACAAGGTGGCAGAAGGGAAGCGAGCCACTTAAACTTTCATTTTTATTTTACCAGGGAACACCTCCACTGTACAACGAAGTGGCTTATCAAGTGGAGATTTCCAGCAGCAAAATACTCGATCCGCACTTTGATTCTGAAATGTGGGGGGAAACGGCGAAAAATCCACGCAAACCACGGGGAGATAAACAAGCAAACCCCAATTCTACAGGCGTCAGGGTCGAGATTGAACCACGACCTCCTGTATGAGGGGCGAGGTAGTTAACATCTCGTCATCGTGGCGCCCACTTGGTGGGGCATGACGCCTGCATTTGAGGTCAGAAGAGACTTTTCTCCACAGCAGCAGAAGCGGTTTGCACGGCCCGGCAATTAATGCCACCAGATTTCTGGGAGGCTTCAAGCAGGACCCACAGTGGAAAGCTGCCAGCCACTTGCCTCCGTCAGCTTGGCCAACTTTTTTTTTATTACAGCCATACCCACCAAATTCCTAGAATCCCACAGGATGCGTACACCATATATTTTCGTCACACTACCTTTCAGAATGCTGTTGCGGACGTCATCAATCTGTTATTAGATGAAAATCTGAATATGTATTTAAACTGGAGGAATCCGATGAGCTATAAAGCTCTTTTTCACAGATGTTCAGTAGTTTCACAGATGTCCAGATGAAGGCCTGCTCAAGCCGTGCCGGTCATGATGATTGTTGGACCATACTTCACCATGCTGGTGAATGTGGTCTGGTAAATCCCATTATATTTAGTTTACCTCCGCAAGTATGATGAAAAATGATGTAACGGCAGCCTTACCAAAGTGTAAGCGAGATTCAAGCAAGCCTGACAGCAGCGCTGATGAGACATTGAATGTAAAAAACAGTCGAGAGTTTGTTGGTGTTGATTCAATGCTGCTAAAATTTAGCCCTTCCAGAAGGCCGAACGGTCGATGTGTTGTGTAAAATATACTTGTACAGTATGATTTTTTTTACGTGAATAGACATAATGTGGGAAGTTATTACGCTCCCACTTTCAAGTCACCGAACTCAACACAGCAGGCAATGCATCACACAATCAGAATGAGAGGGAACATTTGACTGGTATCCCAAACACTGCATCTCGCGCTTTCAGATGCGCTTCTGCGGCCGTCTGGAACGCTCTTCATTCCGATATTAGGAAGCCACTGCAGCTATGCACTTTTCCATCTAAATTAAAAACTCACTTCTCTAGAACTGCTTTTTGTGTTTAGATTGTTGTCCTTTCTCCTCACCTCCGATAATTATCACGGTTGGCTACGTATGTACATACGTATTCCCACAGCTCTGTGAAGAGATATTTATAGTGGCCCACGCAGCGACCCTTGTGACTACCTATATTCACCACTGGAAAGGAGGCACATTGTCTCATTAGTTATCGTGTTACATATCATGGTAGATCAGCAGCAACAGAGGTTTCCCTTTCGTTGCAGCTATTGATGACCGGGCCAAGGTAATCGGCTCACTCTGTATACTTGTATAAGAACCTAGTTTACTCACAGGCGGATGAAACTCAGATTTGAATAAAGCCAGTATCTTGGCAGTGCAAGTGCAGTATACTATGACATGGTATTAGCGCTTTGAGCCAACTGGGATAAGGTTGATAATTGATAGTTTGGGTCAGATCGCGTAAATAAAATGTGTTGTAAACACTCCTGCACCCTACACAGCCGATTAATAAAGTTTACAGGTGGATCCGGTGTGCTGAAGCTGTAAATTGCAATGTATTGCATGCAATTTGTGTTGTCGCGGTGCTTTATAACAATATCAACATGTAAAGCAGACATTATCCGCGGACTGTGGATGAGAAATGGCTCGGAAACGCAAGGAACCACAGACGCGGTGAGGTGGTGCCAACAATGAGTGTTTACATGTGGGCGGAAACGGGAGCACCTGGACAAACAACACACGCGCGAGGGGGCAACACTCTATCCCATAGACACGGAACATGCGGAGTTCGCATTTTCTGCTGTATGTCGAACTTCTTACGCACCGTATGTAGCCAACCGTAACAATCAGAGGCGCTGTACAGGGCGGTCCAGAAATGTTGTGACGCCCCCCCCCCCCCCCAATTAATTGACCCCTATCATGTATTTCCTTTGCATATTCATTTCTGTTTAGATAAGCCTTATTTTGAAAATATATATTAAGTTTAAGATATTTTGATTTAAAGCGTTCGTGACTGCAGGGATTCATATTCTTGGTTCTTTCGGTAAAGTCTACGTGACTTTACCGAAAGAACCAAGAATATAAGTTTAAGATAATTAAATGGGGGTAACAAGACATCTGGACCACCCTGTACTGCCTTTGGGAAGGGGTATTCGCAACACTCGTGCGACCCACCAACCCTCGCTGCCATCCACAGGCGTGTGCCACCACCCCGGGTGATTCACTGAATCTTGAGAATCGTGATTTGGCGGACATCCGGTGAAACACGCGTGGAGAGGTCATTGGGTGAAGGTGAAACGCAAGGTGAGGTGGTCTAAACCGGTCTGCATGGGAACGTGAGGAATGTGGCAAAGGGTCGAGTCTGCTCTTTACAGAAAAAGACCCTCGCAAATGAGTCGGTTCTTGAAAAACCGGATTTTGAGACGGACGAATCCAATGAGAAACACACACCAGGGTAATTCAGAGCCGGATTACACATGCTGTGTGCAATTTGATCATTAAGATATACGTGCAGCCCGTGTATCACTCCAATGCTGGCCTAGGGCATTCTCATGCAGGTAGTGTGGGTTATTCGATTCGGCCGATATTGTCTGAACTAAGAAGCTAAGCAAAGTTGTGCCTGAGCAGTGCGCTAGATATAACAACAACAAC